ATTTTGTATTAGTTTCATTTGTACAGCCTGCTGGTTGGTTAGACAATCATATACTTCACAAAGTGCGCCCCCAATATTTCCAGTACTCGCCCGGCTCCATATTTCTCAGAATATTCCTATGTTCTCTGGGCTGTACTTTGCATCCCTGTGACTATTCTGTAACTGCCAGTCTGTACTTCTTAATCTGTTCACCTCTTTTACCCATTCCCCCAACCCCTCTGCTCTTGGCAACCACCAAGCAAAATTGCAAGAGACTCAGAGACACAGACAGCAGACTGGCAGTTAATGTTGATTTTTAAAATCATATTTGGAACCGTGTTTTGAGACCAGTCCCATTTTGGTGAATATGTAGATGTTCCATAAGGGAGAAATGCATGAGTGAAATGTGAAATCAAAAGTATTCATGATTATTCTGAATACATATTTGCTTAATTTGACCTTTGTTTCCTGAAAGGGGTCTGTCACTGAAGATCTGATTGCCACCTTCTAGAAATCTAGGTAGAGCTCAAATGTCAGTCTCCTTCTCTACTAGGAGTTCAGGTTCATTCCTGTAATTACACTTTTCTGCACTTAGGGAAATGGGTTTAAGGGAAGTGATATCCTTAGGGAAGTGTTGCCTGTGCTCTTTTCGGCTTGCTTCATCATTCTTGGTTAGCTGCTTTAAGAGAGAAATCTGTAAAAAACAAAACATAAAAAAAGCTATTTCCAAAATCAGTCGGCATTTGAGGTCACATCTAACCAGGGAGTTGGCTTCTTTCAATTTAACAAGTACTTAAGGTGCAACTATAGCATGTTTGATCAATATTGTACTACATACTATGGGGTATAACAAAAAGTATGAGCCTGTACAGAAAGTATCCAGCCATGCAGTAGGAGAGATAGAGGCGTTTATTGAAGAAGATACAAGAGACAAGAAACATTGTCCATAGGACAATGGCACCTCCGTCCCCTTCCAAGTCGGCACCTTGGGGCCTCACACAGTTCTCCCAGTTGCCTTCTGCTGCCCTGTTGTATTTTCCTGAATCTCATCGACAGTCTGACATCTCTTCCCTTTCAAAGGTGATTTAAGTTTTGGGAAAAGCCAGAAGTCACGGGGCGCCCAATCTGGGCTGTAGGGGGGCTGAGTCCCCTGGGGGATTTGATGTTTTGCAAAAAAACTCTGCATGAGACGTGATGCATGAACAGGCACATGGTTGTGATGAAGCTGCCAATCACCAGTTGCCCGTAGCTGTGGCCATTTTCATCATATTGCATCTCTCAACCAACGAAGAACATTGAGGTAGTACCTCTTACTAATTGTTTGACCTGGATGGGTGTGCTCGTGCTGGATGGCACCTTCCCACTCAAAAACCACAGTTAACATGGCCTTGGTCTTGCTGTGACTTTGCTGCACCTTCTGTGGGTGTGGAGAGCCAGGCAACTTCCATTGGGACAACCTGGCCTTCTTTCCAGATCATAGCGGTAGATCCACAATTCATCTCCAGTTATGACCTTGAGGAAATCTGGTTTGTTGGTAGCGCTTTGAATCAAGGCATGAGCAACTGCAGCACACTGTTCCTTTTCTTCTGGTAGCAGAGGCCATGGGACAAATTTTGTCACAATATGTTTCATGCCAAGATCCTGCATCAAAATCTCAGGCACAATAGTTTTTGGAATCCCCAGATCAGCTTCTAGGTCTCGCACTGTCAGTCGCCGATCTTAGTTGATTGCAGCCCATACACGTTCAATGTTCTGAGGTGCTCTGCTTGTAGCAGGCCTTCCAGAATGTGAATCACTTTCAACAGATTCTCGACCATCTTTGAAGCATTTGTGCCACACTTTTATTTGCACTGCACTCATGAAGTCATCCCAAAGAGACTTCTGAATCATTGGAATGGTTTCTGCAGAGGAATATTCAAACTTAATGCAAAATTTGATGCAGATTTGATTTGGTGCTCTCCTCAGTCATTTTGAATGCGACGGGCACACAGTCCACATGCTCACTCAACAGCGTCTACCACCCCCACTGACTAGTACAGTGAAGTCGTCATTGTTCACACATGCGCATTCCAGCCCACTTGCCTTGGCTGCCAGGTGACATCAATGCCGTGCAAACTGTTATTATATTAACAATGGCTGGACTTTTTCTGGACAGACTTTGTATGATTCATTCTTTTACTGTTAAATTTATTTCTTTTAAGTAGGGAGAGGGTGCTGAGAGAACAAGATTTACTTATGTAAAATAATATGAAAAATATCCGAGATAATTGAGCACAAAAAGCTAAATTGAATTAGCTTGTTGGCTAGCATAGTTTCAGTTTTCATGGTGGTAGTAGATCTTGAGATGGATTTCCAAGAATGGGTAAGATTTAGACAGACAGCAAGAATTAAAGGGTATCTGAAGCAGCGAAAATGCGAGTAAAGACTAGAGGCTAGAATAACATGGTGTATGCCCAGGAAAGTGAAAGTTACTATTGCTGGAACAGAGAACATGATAGGAAATAGAATATGTTACTATATTCATGTAAGCATTTAAAGATTTTATATTGAATACAAACAACTTGTTAATACTATGGCATTTAAATATGCTGTGTGATGATATTTACTCTACTAGTTTATCTATCTACTTAGGATTTTAGTTAGAAGACTACTCTGGGAAGTAATAGTTACTTCTCTAAGAAAGCAACTTGAAAGGGTACAGGGACAAAGTAACATTGTGATGCATTCAGACTTTTGAAAATGTGAAAAGTGTATATAGTAATAAAAACATGATAGTATACTGTATTTTGAGTGTGGTTTTTTTCTATTTAACTATATTTTTGAATGGGTTATAATTATCAAAGCTCATCTTTGAGCCTACGTAGTGTGGGTCAGTGGATTGAATGCCAGCCTGAGAACCAAAGGGTCGCTGGTTTGATTCCCAGTCAGGGCATATTCCTGGTTTGCTGGCCAGGTCCCCAGTAGAGGGTGTGCGATAGGCAGCCACACGTGGATGTTTCTCTCCCTGTGTTTCCCCCCTCTCTACACCTGTCTAAAACTAAAAATTTTTAAAAAGCTCATCTTTGCTTACTTTGCAGTCCTTTCACTTGCCTCAGCATGCGTGAGTTTTTAGGGTCTGCATCCAAAGGACAGGTTTAAAAGGAAGTATCATTGGTCAAACTTGAAGTCAGCATCCTCGCCAGCACCTGCAATTTGTTACTTTACTGATGACAGTCATTTTGACAGGTGTGAGGTGATGATATCTCATTGTGGTTTTAATTTGCATTTTTCTGATGATTAGGGACACTGAGCATTGGCCCTCTGTATGTCCTTTAAGGAGAAGTACCTATTCAGGTTTGCCCATTTTTAATTTGGTTGCTTGGGCTCTTTTGATGTTGAGTTGTATGAGTTCTTTATAAATTTTAGACAGTAATTATCTTCTTCCATACAATGGGTTGTCTTTTCATATTGTTGATGGGTTCCTTTGCTGTGCAAAACTTTTTAGTTTGATGTGGTCCCATTTGTTTATTTTTTCCTTTTGTTTCCCTTGCCTGAGGAGATATATCAGAAAAAATATTACTAAGGGAAATGTTTGAGATTTTACTGCCTGTGTTTACTTCTCAAAGTTTTATGGTTTTAAGTTGTACATTTAATTCTTTAATCCATTTTGAGTTATTCTTGTGTGTAGTGTAAGAGGGTGGTCTAACTTCATTTTTTGCACGTATTTGTGCAATTTTCCCAACACCGTTTATTGAATGGACTATCTTTACAAATACCACAGGATTTCATTTATATGTAGAATCTAATGGAGAAAATAAACTACCAAACGAAATAGAAAGTGACTCAGATGCAGAGAACAGACTGATAGCCCTCAGATGGGAGAGGTTTGGGGAGCTATGTGAAAATGGGGAAAGGATTAAGAGAAAAAACAAACAAACAGCACCTCATAGGCATAGACGACAGTATGATGATGACCAGAGGGAAATGGGGATTGGGAGCAGATGGAAGAGGGCAAAGGGGGGCACATGGTGACGGAAGGAGACTTGACTTGGGGTTGAGAGCACACAATGTAATATACAGATGATGTACATAGACTTGTACACCTAAGACCTATACAATTTTATGAACCAAGGTCTCCCCCAAATAAATGCAATAAAAAATAAAAAAAATTGAAGTTCATTTATCACACACATGCTTAGGAATATGTGTGTTTATAGGGCATCTTTGCCCCACATGCACTATCAAAGGTAGTATGAAACGCAACCTAATTGATTAACCTTGGGCATGGGAGGCAAGGTGGATAACAACGCTGAAAAGACTGGTACCAAAGGATATGAAGTGACTAGAACAGGTCTTATTTAGGACACTATTTGTAGTAATTTGTGTTTAGGATTTCAGAAGTCTCTGGGGTATAAGAATTTTCTATAGTTAGCCCTGAGCTACTCTTTCCAATATCTGATGGATTGGATATTCAGCCCAAGTAATAAATGGATGGCGTCCAACAAGAAATACATACAAATACATGGCATTGAAGGTTTATTTATTGTAACTTTAAGATATGCTAATAAATCAAGCTGACTTTCACTGAAAAGAGGCAAGTCCCAGTGAAATTAATTCTTCTATACTCAGTATAATTTGAATGACTCACATTTTCTTTTCCAAAATGGGACAGATGGGTAAGCCATGTGGTGATAATGGGCAATTCAGACATTTTGATTTACTTGTTTTACTATTTTATTTAAGCATCTATATATCAGAATTCTTATATCAATTATCCAAGTTTGCATTTTTAGGTCACTTAGACTTGTGTGAAATGAAATAAAAAATGTCATTCCAATGTTGCTTTTCCTTTAAATTCCTTGTATATTGAACAAAATGTATACCCAAAGGCAAAAAAGTTCAGTAGCTTGATTTATGTGATGACTTTGTAACGAGTTACTTGTATTAACTGGTTATTTCACTTTTTCCATTTTATATCAAAAACATCTGTGCATTTAGAAACACTTGATATCGTTTCTAATTGAGGTTGATGTTTTCTTCAGGTGGTAATTCAGGATGATGGCCCTGAAAAATTGGACCCCAAATATTTTGGAGAGTTACTTGCCGATCTAAGCCGCAAAAATACAGATCTGTATCACTGCCTATTAGAACATTTGCAGAGAATTGGAGGAAGGTATGGTAAATATCTCATTTGCCTTGACAGCGTAGCTATCAAACATTGGGTGATAATCTAGTATTTTTAACAGACCATTTTTAGAGAAGTTTCTGGTTGACAGCAAAACTCTAGTGCTTTCAGTGGAGAAACAGCACAGCTATGTAAACAGATATAAGCAAATGTCTCATTTTAAGAGTTAATGTTCTTTATGAAAATCATCAAAGAGATCACACCAGCCCTGTTAGAATCAGGGAAAGAATTCTGTACACCTTCTTTTGTACTGTATTTTGGTGGTAAATGCAGCCTCTTGGAGAAAGAACTCAAAAAAGATACATGACATACTATGACTCATTTTAAGATGCTGCACTTATGATACAAGCCAGCACATGACTGTTTTCACTGACGCGTTCCCAACAGATGAAGGCCAGAGTTCAATATACATTCAATGTATATTATAAACATTATATATTATTTTAATAATATATTGCATATGATGTATCAAGTATAAATTATATAATTATCTATAAAGGATTATAAATAAAATATGTATGTTACACATCCCCAAAGTTGTCTTCTACTACATAGTACATTCTACTAGGTGAGGCAAAAGTAGGTTTACAGTTGTTCATAGGAAAAGTAATGCAATAGTTAATAAATAATAGTACAGGAATAAACTTCATGTTTCACGTACTTATGATTGTAAACCTACTTTTGCCCCACCCCATATATGTGGTCATCTATCAGGCAAAACCTGGGAGAGCTCCACAAATTCATAAAAATCTGGAGGGGAAAGTCAGTAGAATTCTTTCTATTTCTGGCTCCCAAACTAGATTCTAGTATTTCTTAGACATCTTTGATCTGTTGTGCATCTCTTTTCCTCTCCATTTTTTCCATTTTTTTCTCCACTTATTAGCTCCTTTCTCCCTGACTCATTGCTTTATATTCATGACTGCAATCATTTCCTTATGATTACTCTCAACTTCCTTGCCTATGGATTTTTTTGTCTTTCCCACTTAGAGAAATCCCAGTTCTGGATTAGTTTAGCTCTCTGCTTTATTTATTGGTGGTGGTTGTTTTTTTTTAAATCACTTTCTCCTCCATCCAGTATCCAGCCCCCATCACCCCTAGAATTAAGCTCTTTTCTTTACCCTGGTTTCCCTGGTGACTGGTTTAGTGGGGACTCAATAAATATCTGTTGAATGTATGAAGGAATGCCTTCCGTCCCGCTACATCCATGCACTTACGCACTGTTATAGCAAAGGACGGTCATTTATTTGAATTGGAGTCATTATAAATGCATCACTCCCATTTTCAAAGCCAAGCCTTTATTACTGTTTATACTAATCAACACCTTCTCTGATTACCCAAAATACTATTTCACAGATTCACCCGTTTGAATACCTTAAACTCTTCCTGCACTCTGAGTAGTCAGTTATGTATTTTCTACTATGTGCTACACTGTGCTTTTTCTATATTATCTAATTTGCACCATAACCCTAGACTGTTTTATATGAAGACTCCAAAAGGGTAAATTACACACCTTCTGAGTGCTTGAGATGCATTCAAACATTTCTGAGTACTCTTTAGTTAGACACTGTGACTTAGCTTTTCTGCAGTGTTCCGTAGATACTGATTTCACTCTCGATGTTCCTCTTCCGTGCATTCATAATGCCCTGTGAATATCTCTCTCAAAGTATCACTTTGTAAAATCAGGAGCATATAGTTCAAAACATGTGGCCTTGACAAAGTCACGACTCAATGAAAGTTTTCAGAATGAGAGTCCAATATATTCTAAATGTATTGCCTCATGCTAGAGAGAAATAGACAAAGTAGCTGATCAAGGAAAATTTGATTATTTCATAATAATCATCCAGGGAAAGGTGTAATCTGGGGTTTTGAAATAACTTCTTCTAATTTAGGGGTTTGGATAAATCCACATGGATGACCTAAATGTGTAATTAAGCACTGCAAAGCTTTCAATGTCATTCCTAGAGTAGCTAAAAATACCAAAAACAAAAGCTCAAGTTCGTCTCCACATGGAACAGTCCACAATGGACAGGGTCTCAAAAGTGTGGCGTTTAAATGTTTTTGCTGGTCGTGAAGCTGCCAGTGTTTCTGCTCGTCATCCCTTCCCTCTTTCCCTTCTTTCTTTGTGTGTGTGTGTGTGTGTGTGTGTGTGTGTGTGTGTGTGTGTGTGTATTACATTTCCGTCTTCTTAGGAGATGAGAGGGAATGAAGTGAGTGCCCATTTATTTTTTCCTCCCAGCGTAATTGGAGCCTCCACCCCTCAGCGCTGAATAGAGGTGCAATCCACGCTGACCTTTCCACCTCTACCTCCCGCTCAGCTCTGCTCCCTCTCTCCCTCCTCTTTTGTCTCCACTTTTCATTCCAGGTTGCAATTCAGCCTGGAGCGGGCTCCAGGGTCAAAATTAAGGAAGGCTGTTTCATGAGGCCATTCTGGATACTGTTTAACATTCTAACATTAAGAGCTGTTGACTGTTTCTTGTTTTGTTTCTTTGTACTGTTTTCTTATTTGTAGAAAAAAGGAAGGGACTAGGGACATATACATTCGGTCGGCATTGGAATTGGAATTTTAAACATAAAAGGCCTGTTAATACAGTGATGACTTCAGTTAACAGTAATGCAAGACTACTAAAACTGCATTGGGAGTCATATTTTAACTTGTTTTACCTTCCAATATATGCATGCAGGTACTTTAGTAAAATATTAAATAAGTAGAAGATACTTCATTTTATTTTGCTAGGGCCTCCCAACAATTTCTATTATTTTGGGTGACACAGGAAATACCACATACATACATACATACATACATACATACATATATGATTGGACATATGCAGTTACGTCTTGGGCAATGGAATCTTGAGCTCTCCTTGTACATTTTTAAGAATGCATGCAACAGGTTTTGCATACTGAGTGACCCATTTATTTCAATAAGCAATGCATCGCTCATAAACAGTTACTTAGAAGGGAAATGTAGGAGCTAATGTACTCTTAATATCTCTAAAACACATTTCTGTTTTACTGAGGATATGACGATTGCAGATCTATGATTTTCTAAGACTGTCTTATTGTAGTGTAATGTATTCTATCTTGCTTTCAGAACATGTGTCCTGGTTTTTTGTTTGAGAAGTGTGTTCACTGTATGCATTTTGGGCCCAATTCTTTCACTAAGTGCAGATGGAGCAAGTAGGCAAAAATAAAAGCCACTGCGCCCCCCCCAGAACTGCATCCTTCCCAGGTTTCACCCTAAAGAAGCAAGTGCCAAAATGATATAATCACGAACAATTCCCTTGCAGCGTTTTCCTACCAAACATGGCTTCAAAAAGAGCCTTCCAACCCTCATGGCCAAACCCTCATTTTGATGCTGGGCGTGCTATTATTCTACTAAACTTTTGGTCATGTTGCTTAAGGTCTGTTCCTATACCAACATTCAAATATCCTTGAAGCTTTGCCTCTGCTAATTGTTCTGTAGCATAGACTGAATGAGTTACTCAGTCCTGTCTTGCAAGTTTGGATTTTTGATAAAACTTGATGACACTATATAGAGAAGCTGGAATCAGCATTGGAATGCGAGGAGCAAAGGAAGGTGTAAATAGAGAACAACTGTTATCATTATACATTCACTCAGGTAGCATTTATTGCCAGGCTCTGAAGGGCTGGTGTGAGCGGATGGTACTAACCAATTCTGCATATTCTGTTGGCTTGTTATTTCGGTATTGTTTATTTGGAACAGACTAGCTAGCTACAGGAAAATTATCTTCTTTATATTTGTAAGTGCCATTTAGTTATTGCAATTTTTTCATTTGGATTATAAATTGGATTATACATTGAAATTTTTTCATTTGGATTATAAATTATGATATATTAAAAAGTGAGATAAAATAAATAGAACATAAATATTTATAATGATCAATGCATACATTTTCCTAAGGTTGTCTTTTTTTCTTTTCATTCTTGCAGCAAACAGGACCTTGAGTCCACAGATGAGGTAAGTTAAATTCAAACATATTTGGTAGCAAGGCAAATTCCGATATTTGCACTAATAATATTATTTTAGTTTGGTGCCTTTATTAGACTGGGAACACAGCTTCATTTGCTATCTTCATTAAACTGAGAACAAGAAATAATGATCATTTTGCTTTTGAAATGATATAGCCATTTATATCTTTGTAACGACTGTAAAAGTAGTAATCTTAAATCCCTCACACCAAAAATTGTATCAGTTGGCACTTTATGATTCAAAACATTTAGAACATTTAACATTTCATTGACTATATAGTCTCTGTTTTATAAAACGGAAATCTACATTAGCTAAATAAATAGCAAATTCAGTTTCAGTGTATTTTGAAAACATGTATGTTCCATGTCAAAGAGCCAGCAACTTGAAGTATTTTTTCAGGTGTTAATTCTATTATATATGCAAGGCTTGTTAATAATTACTTTAAATGGAATAAGTCATCAAATAGAGAAAGAACAGATTTCAATGTAATAAAATATTTTTGAATTAATATTTATGTGTTTCCAATGTATTGACATATTGCATTTATTATAATTATTCAGTAAGCCCTAAATTGCCTTTAAAAATATTGACTTTAGTTCAACTTCTCACTTAAAATCAATTGAAGCTTCTAAACTGCTGTAGCAACATCATCTTGCAAAAATCACCACAGCTCTATGTAAATTTTCAATAAACTCTTAATATTATTTTATTTTCCCAAATTTTCATTGTTTAAAATCAGCCTCTTAAATGTCGTATCTGCCACAAAACAAAACTTCTGGGAGGTTTTGAAAGAGACACTGAAATAAAGCGTTTAATGGGATTTAAGAGGCCATTCTTTTGTTTTTAAATTACTCTTTTTAAAAAAATAGAAATGGAACATATGATTGGTTGCCCAAAACTTTTCCCTAAAATGCCTGAAATTCAGGGTTCTTTCTGAGGTGAATGTAGTATAATCTATGTTTTAAAAGTAAGAACCGATAAGCCTAGAAATGAAATTTTTAACAACTATTACCTGAAAAGTAAAATAATATTCTCATGTCCGTAAAAATAAGCCCGATGCACAAAAGTCTGTGGATTAAAATACTAATGGATAAGCCTCTCTTTTCTTACAGTTGGAAGACATTGAATCTTTGATTCCTAAAGGATTGTCAGAGTTTACGAAACAGCAAATTCGCTATATTCTGCAGGTGAGTTGGGATCAAGAGCAGGTGAGAGAGCAATCCTAAGAAACCACTAGGTTACGATGCTTCCCTAAGAACAGAAATTTTCTAATAAAAATCATTTTTCGCAAGAGTTGATTATATTTTGATTTTGATTGCCTTACAGTTTGGTCAGACCGTCAAACACTAGTCGTACATGACTAGCACTCAGGAAAGCCTTCTAGAAATATGGGATTAGGGTAGGTTCACAGTTGAGAGACTGCGAAACACAGAATTCGTTCTCGTAATATTATTTATTAATATTGTATTCTTTTCCATATGAACAACTGTCAACCTACTCTTGCCCCGCTGTTGATTATTCCTTAGTGTCTTTCATTAATTATTCCTTTGTCTTGCCTTGCTACCTTGTTTTCCTAAATGTAGGAAGGCTAGAGACCACCGGAGAAGTTCTCCTATAATAAAGGGAGAGATAGACTAAGATAGGTAGTGTGGGACTATGACTAAAAAAAAAAATACATGTGTCAAAGAAAGGATTCTGAAGATAATTTGGTTTTGTCTAGTGAAGACAATCTCTACGTTTGATATTTGTTCTCACATCTTTGGTGATCATCTGAATTTTGGGCCTCGTGTCATATTTGTAAAACTTAAATGATTATTATTTTTAGTGGCCCACAGTCTGTGTTATAAAGAGACGGTGGCATGGGGAATGAATCTTGGCGACATCCTTGATAGTATATCTGGAGGTGGGATGTTTATCCAAAGCGCATTCATGGCCTATTTGTACAAAAAAAAATTCTTCCAAGGATTTTTGCATCTAAGATCATGAGAGACATTGGTCTGTAGTTTTCTTGTATTATCTTTGGTTTCGTTATCAGAATAATAATGCTTGCTTCATAGAATGAAATGAGATGTGGTTCTTCCTTTTCTACTTTCTGGAAGGCACTGCGTAGACTTGGTATTAATTCTTTGAAACATTTGGTAGAATCCCTCAGTGAAAATATCTGCACCTGGATATTTTGTTTGGCAGGAGTTTTTTAACATTCTAAATTCAATGCCTTAATAGTTATAGGTCTATTCAAATGATCTGTACCCTATTGGATGAGTTGTGGTAGCTTGTGATTGTCAAGGAAATAGTGCATTTCATCTCAATTGTCAAATTTAGATGCCTGTAGTTGTGCATAGTATCCCTTTACTATCCTTCTGATGTCTGCAGGGTCGGTATTACCAACCCTTATTTAATTGCTAATACTAGTGATCTGTGTCTTCTCATTAAAAAAATTATTTATTTTTCTTGTTCAGTTACAGTTGTCTCACCTTTTTCCCTGTTGCTCTCCCATGCCCCGCCCACCCCACTCCAACTCCCACAATCGGTCCCCAACCCATTGTCCATGAGTCCTCAACTCATGTTCCTTGACTTTATTTGTCAGTCTTCCTGGAGCTTTATCATGCTTATTGATTTTTTTCCCCAAAGAACTAGGTTTTAGTTTTATTGATCTCCTCTACTGTTGTCCTGTTTACACTGCCACTGATTTTTGCTCTTGTCTGCAGTGTTTATTTACTTTGCTTACTTTTGATTTATTTTGCTCTTCTTTGTCCAGTATCTTGCTATAGGAAGTGAGATTGATTTAAGGCCTTTCCTGTTTTCTAACGTAAGCACTAAAATATCCTCTCGTCATGGCTTTAGCTGTGTCCCTCCAATTATGATATGTATTCTCATTTTCTTTCAGTTCTAGGCATTCCTCTTACCGTTTTAATTTATTGAATGTATTGGAGTGACACTGGTTAATAAAATTATATAGGTTTCAGGTGTACAATTCTATAAGACGTCATCTGTACACTGTACTGGGTGTTCACCACCCCAAGCCAAGTCTCCTTCCATCACCATTTACCCGCCATTTACCCTGTTTACCTCCCCCCACCCCCTCTTCCCTCTGGTAACTTACCTCCCTTGAGATTTCTGCTTAGAGATAAAGGAAAAGAAAAAGAATCTCACTAAAACCTACCAAGTGGAAGTGGATTATTTTTAAGTGTGCTGTTTTGTTTCCAAGTGCTTAGAGATTTTCCTGTTGTCTTTCCATTATCAATTTCTAGTTTGATTCCACTCTGAGTGGAGCGCACATATTCCATATGAAGGCAATTCTTTTGAAATAGTTAACTTTTGTTGTACGGTAAAGGATACGGCCTATCTTGCTATATGTTACATGGGCACATGAAAGGAATGTGTACCTGTTGTTGGATAGAGTCTTTTATAAATGGTGATTAGATCCTTTGTTTGATGCCGTTGTTGAGTTCTTCTATGTTCTTGCTCCTTTTCTGCCAAGTGGTTCTATCAGTTGCTGAGAGAGGGGTGTGGAAGCCTTCAGTTGTAACGGGGGATGTGTCTATTTCTCTTTTCAGTCTATCAGTTTTTGTTTCATACATTTTGCAGCTTTCTTGTTTGGTTCATAAACATTCATAATTGCTATCTATGTCTTTTCGGTGGACTGACGCTTTTATCATTATGTGATAATGGTAATCGTCTTTGTTCTGAAGTCATTTTTATCTAATGTAAATATAACATGCCTGTTTTCTTTTGATTAAAGTTTGCACAGTATAATTTTTCCAACCTTTTACTTTATATATATGTATATACGTGTGTGTGTATATATATGTGTATATGTGTGTGTGAGTGTATATATATATAGAGAGAGAGAGAGAGAGAGTTGACAATATTACAGATGCCCTCCCTTTTGCCCACCTCCACCCAGCCCCCAACCCCGGCCTTCATCTCATAGTTGTCTGTGTCCGTGGGTCATGCATATACGTTATGTCATCATCTTTCACCCTGTCGCCCCTCCCCCACCCCTCTGACAGCCGTCAGTCTGTTCCATGCGTCCACGCCTCTGTTTCTATTTTGTTCATCACTGTATTTTATTCATTAGATTCCACATATAAATGAGGCCCTTATGGTATTTTTCTTTCTCTGACTTGCTTGTTTTGCTTAGCATAATAATCTTCAAGTATAATACAATGTAATTATATATAATTATAATGATATATTATTTAATTAATAGATAATATATTATAATATTAATATAACATTACATAATAAATATATACATGTTATTTCTTCCTTCCTGATGCTCCAAATTCCTCTTTGTATCACTGTTTCTCTTACGCTGTTCTTTCAAGGTAGGTTTTAGTGAGATTCTTTTTATTTTCCTTTATCTCAAAATGTGATTTCCCCTCCATTCCTAAAGGATATTTTCATTACATACAGGATTTGTAGTTGACAGTTCTTTTTTCAGCATTTACAATGTGTATGTTACTTTCTTCTGGCCTCTATGGTTTCTGATAAGAAATCTGCTGTAATTTGAAATGTTACGCCTAATACTTAAGATTTCTCTTGCTGCTTTCAAAATTTTATCTTTAGTTTTGAGAAATCTGACTAACTAATCTAGGCATGGATTTCTTTGGATTTATCATATTTGGACTTTGTTCTATGTCTTGAATACGTATGTTCATGATTTTTGCTAATTTGGAGTTTTCAGTCATTTTTTCAAGTACTTTTTCAGCTCCACCCTTACTTCTTTCTAGGCCTTTGGTGGCATGAATGTTAGATATGTTTTATACTCCCACAGGTCTCCCAGGCCCTGTTTAATTTTTTTCCAATATATTTTCTCTCTGATGTGCAGATGGAGTACTTTCTATTTCCTATTTTCAAGTTCACCAATTCTTTGCACTATACTTTCCATTCAGTTTTTTAATCCATCCAGTGAGATTTTTGGTTTTTGGTTACTGAGCTTTTCTTTTCTTTTTTAAAAGATTGTATGTATGTATGTATGTATTTATTTATTTTAGACAGAGGGGAAAGGAGGAAGAGGGGGAAAGAAACATCCATGTATGGTTGCCTCTCGCACCTCCCCCACTGGGGACCTGGCCCGCAACCCAGACATGTGCCCTGACTGGGAATCGAACCGGCAACCCTTTGGTTCGCAGGCCGGCACTCAGTCCCCTGAGCCACCCCAGCCAGGACAGAGCTTTTCAATTCTAAAATTTTCATGCACTTATTCTTTATATCTTCTATTTCTTTTTGGAGACTTCCCAGTTGCAAGTTGAGAGTTTCCTGGTTCTTGGCAGTGATTACTCAAATTGAAACTTGGACATTTTGAGTATTGTGTTATGCCTCCGGATCTTCAAATCTTCTTTATCAGCAGGCCTCCCCTGATGCTGACACCAAGGGGGCGTGCGGGCGCTGTTTGTTATTGTGAGCAGGCGGGTGGAAGAACAAGTTTCGCACTTAACCTTTGCTGACGTTTATCAGAAGAGCTTCTTGTTCCTCCTGAGCAGAGGTCAGCACTGTGGCTCTCTACCGAGGCTTTTGTAGGGCCTGCTTTAGATAGGACGGGGTGCCTCAATATTGTTCCCCGTCTTGGCCTTCACTGGCGCTGCAAGTGGGGTGGTCTCATCTCCACTGGACAGTGATAGAAGTCCTTACTTGCCACCAAGCACCCACCGACATCCCCCTAGCGGGGACGTGGAGCAGTATCTGGTTACTACTAAATAAGGTGAGAGAGCACAGCGTCCTTTCGTAGTCGCAACAGACAATGCAATGCCTGAGGTCTCGGTTTTGATCAGTGGGGATGGAAGCCCCATCTTTCCACCCTCCCTTTTCCTGGTGACTCGTGTTGGTGCGCCTTGTTAAGGTCTGTTGAGGGGGAAAGTCTAGGCTTCCTTCCTGGCTCTTGATGGCTTTGGTGGGAGTAGAGCCGTTGAATTCCCTCCCACCCCCGTGGCGTTTAGCTGGAGAAGAGGGATTATTATCTAAAAGTTCTCCACCTCGCTAAGCTCCCCTTTTCTTGGTCCTTTGCCCACAAAGAGCAGGCTTTTCCGGGGACTTTTGTTATTTGTATTGATTGGTGTTTCTGGCTTATTGATTTCCCCAACACCAATCTGTGATACATGAAGCACAAAGAAATCCCAGGAACTCACTTCTGTATTGTACTTCCGGTCCCAGTGTTCCCTACCAGACTGCCTTCTTTTCACCTTTCCAAGTTTTTTATACACAAACACCCAGGACTTTTAGTTAAACTTAGCAAGAGGAATAGGAAAAAGTATTTCTACTTCATCTTTCCAGAAACTACAATTGACTTTAAATATGTTTTTCTTTAAAGAAAGTAGTTTAACTTAGTAAAAGTGTTTTTATCCCACTTGGTTAAAGTTTTAAATGTTTCTATACTTTAAGGTTAAACTTAACTAGTATATTTTCTTCTCATCTCAGGCAAAATCCAGGCATTTGGCAGCATACTTAGGAAGGTGCATTTTATTATTTGAAGGTTGACCGTGTCATTTTTTGAAACTTTAAATAAAGAATAAAAGTAAATTTGAGAATGTGATGATAAATTTCTATCTTGTGAAACTGATATTAGTTCATCATGAAAAAAAATAATAGACTCTATCCTAATTGCATAGCTACCATCTCTTCAGGAGAATTGCTTGAATTACTTATGCATGTTATTAGTAATATTGCCATATCAACAATGAAACTGCCAATAAGTTTGCTTGTAGCAACAGAAAAATAAGATCACCATCACTTCTATCGCTTCGTTTGAAATGTTAGTGAAAATAAACCATTAATCATTCTCTCCCTCCAGATGAGGGGGATGTCTGAAAAATCTCTCCGGCTGCTGCTCTCCACATTCAGCAACATACGAGAGGAACTTCGGCATCTTCAAAACGACTTGACAGTAACATTTATTTTAATTTTTTCTTTCCCAAGCCTTTCTGGTTCCTACCTTCCTAGCATAGAAATCAAGGCGTTCAGTCTACCTTTTTAAAGTTTAGTACAACACAACTTTGTCCTTAACCTAGACATGGTTACTTTCATGAAACAGTTAATTGAGGCTGAGAGCAGAGAAAAGCTGTCCTGTGTAAAAAGAAAGAAACTTGAGAATGCACTTATTAATTAGTTTGGAAGTAAGGTAATCCACCCCTTAAAGCTCAGGAGTAGCTTGTAAAATTGGAATGCGTAATCTGACTCATTGAATGGGAATTTCCCCCTTTTCTGTAATAATAGAACACATCTTGAATTTCTTTGAATACTTGAAAATGTCTTTCTCCAAGAATTTAAGCTTTTCTTTTTTAATTGTTGTTCTTGGTGCCATCAGCTAGATACACTCAGAATATTTTTCATACAATGAATAACTCCTTGAGGACTTTTGAGTTGGAGTCTTTTTTTTCTTGATTCTGATGAACACATTTAGACTTTACTTTGAAAATTCACCACCTTAACAAGGAGTCTTTGTAGACTGGGGTAAAATGTTAAAATCATTCAAAAGGTTCTGCTTCATTGGACTTTCAATTAGTCAGTACATCAAGTTGTCTCTTTTAATGTGCAAGTTTTTAAAGTCTCAATGCTTTTGTATCCCATATTTTGCTTAAATTAAAAAGTGCTGTTTATTAAGCAACTACAAATGAAAGGTGCTTATTTAAGCCTTTCAATGAGTCTTTGTTTTATGTGACTTTGAACCAGTTTCTGTAATTCTGAGTCATAACGAATAATTTTGTTTTAGTCCCTGGAAAATGACAAGTTAAGACTTGAAAAAGACTTGGTTTTCAAAGAAACTCAGATAAAAGAATATGAAGAACTCTTGGCATCGGTGAGAGCAAATAACCGTCAGCAGCAGGTAATTTGATATTTTCATTGATGATAAACTAGATTGATGGCTTTTCCTCTGCATAATTACTAGCACACTGGAGTTCTGAGATACAATCCAAACGCAATTAAAATATGATGGAACAATTTGTTCATATGAGAATCGAGTGGTTTTTGATATTTCCAATGACTGAAAAGCCTCTCAGAAAAAGATAACCTTAGGTATTTTAGATAGTAAGTTGACACAGTCCACATTACCTGTGCTGTTGGGTGACAATAATCGCATAAATATTAAAAACCTGAGTTCACTCATTGATTTAATCTACTCACATGTCATGAAAAAAGTTTTTTAAGGATCTTAACGTGTGGTCGTTCAATAAATAAGTGAAAGAATCAACTCTAGAAGCATTCTCCAGATGTCTGAGCAGAGTTGATTCCTAGGAAATTGTATTGAGTCTCTGAGGATGATCCTTTCCTAATCTTCACTCCCATGAGAAGTCCCAGTTGTCACATAAATAATCAGGCACATGGTGATTTTGGTGCCTTCTAGAAGGCAGGGCACAGTATTGCCAAAGACTAACAAGAGTCAGTTTGCTAAATTGATACATAGAAAATTCATCTAGTCTTGATTCCTTCTCTCATAAGATAGCCAATCAGACTAAGGGCCAAAACCTACTGTAATATTTTACCTGGCTGATTCAACTTACGATTTAAAGGTCAATATCTAAGAAAACTAGGCATGGAAAAATATTTGCTTCATTCATAGAATTAATCAAATACAAGAGCGTTATGCCCCCTGAAGTAGAACCCATTCATCTTATTTACTTATATGTTTTCTTTACAGCAAGGACTTCAGGACTCAAACTCTAAATGCCAATCATTGGAAGAAAGCAATCTCTCCCTTCGACATACACTGTCAGACATGGAATATAGATTAAAAGAACTGGAATACTGTAAACATAATTTAGAGCAAGAAAATAAAAATCTTAGAATGCAGGTATTAAATTTTTGTGTTAAATACATGTTATTGCCTTCGTTATACTATTGTGATCTTAGCATTGGAAAATATATATATTTGTAGTTCGACTGTATAACTATATATATGCAATCCTATTTATTTTGAGAACAAACATGGACTTCTTTCTGATTGATTATTTCAATTTCTCATTTAACCGTGTGACTTTAATCAATCTTGTCATTCAATGTCCACTTCGTTCAGAACAACCCAATCACAGAAAGTTGTGTTGTCTTGGGTAGGTCTCCGAGACTTGCACAGGCCCGATGCTGCAGGCTAAAATGGACGAGGTTGGCAACCATTACATGGAAATGGTAAAAAACTTAAGAATGGAGAAAGACAGAGAGATCTGCAAACTAAGGGTATGTTGATCCTACACTGCATTACAAAGACCAGCACAACATTTCTAATAGGATAACAATGGTTTCGAGCTTAAAGCCACATGAAAAAATCAAGTGAAGGTAGTTTCAGGAATATGCCATAAACCCTTTTCTTTAAATGCGTAACACTGTGTATAGAATATTGCTAAATCGTTTTCTCATGTAGCTTAATGCTTTCTAGGAAATGAAAGGAAAAAAGACACTGACTTCAGGGTTTGGGTTTTTAATTTTTATCTATTTATTTATTTGATAGCAAGGGGACCCTTTATGATCTTGCTTGAAGCATTCTTATGCAGGCAAGAGCAACGTTTGAGATGATCATGCATATACACACTTGACTTTGAGGGATGATACATAGCAAGACCTTTGTCAAGCACAAGGATAGAAATAGTGTGGAATTATGTACAAGTAATTGGCATCAAAATTGGGGTGATACTTGTGGGAATAAGTATACATTGCCTCATCTTGTAATTTTAGGTAAAATTGAGTCAATTTAATGATTCCTAAATGTAGCTAAATCTGTTGAATATTTTAATGGAAAACTGACTGCAGGTGTTTCTCACTGAATATCACTGTACAATCTGGACCAAAAATCAACATACAACAAAATATAATTTCTTCACAAGTCTAGTGAGTTCAGCAAACAATTCTCCACTTTTTTTTTCCATCTCAATGTTACTATAACACTTCAACTTCATGGCCATCTATGCACAAATAATGGACTAAAGAGGAAAATGGGCAGGATTTGGAAGGGTCAGAAGACCTGTCTTAAGAGTTCGTTGCAATCATGCTTTTCATTGGCTGTATTATCTCTGTGTCATTTAACCTCTCTGCATCTCATCTACCTGTTTTGTGAGCTATTATATAACACCTCACAGGGCTACCTTGAGAATTGGGATAAGTCAGGCAGGAGGAATATTTTGTCAACTGCAAGTCATGACATAGTAGCTATTACTACTGAGTTTGCCTTAGAATTCGGAGGAATCTCAAGTGCCTGTTTTCTTAGCATTATTTTAATTATCGCTGCCTAAGACTGTTGCTTAGGTGATGCTTTCTCCTAAACAGTAAAGGCACTTTAAAAAAAAATGACAAATTTCTAATTTGCATTTCAATTCATATTTTACATTCATAAAGCTCTGTAAGTGTTTATAGCTATTAGTATTTTGCTCTTCATTTCATGGCTAGCTATATGACTTTATGTCACTTGGAATTCAGTTACTTATTGTGTAAATGAGAATTAAAATAATTCTTGTTTCTTTTTAAATCTTTAGACTCAATTAAATCAGTACCAAAAAGACGTACTGAGAAGAGAAGGAAGTTGCAGTGACTTCCAATTCAAGCTTCATGAACTGACAAGCTTGCTGGAAGAGAAGGATTCCCTTATAAAGCGCCAATCAGAGGTGAGTACACAGAGGTAAGGGCACAGGGGAACAATACAGCTCAGTCCTGCAAGATAACCACTGTCCGTGAACCAGAGGAAGACACGTTGCCAAGACTCCCTTTATTCATGAAGTAGAATGTGAGTGTGGAGAGGCGGAAGATTCATATTTCAGGAGAAATAATTCAAATGAAAGCTAGAGTTGAAGCAAATATAAGTGCCATTGTTCATTTAATATTTTTAAGACATTGATTTTATAGGTCATTACCTGTGGAACTCCCAGTAAGACTGAGAGCTCTTCACTAGATTATTAGCTGTTTTAGCAGGGGACTGTGTTATATTCCTCTCTGTATCTGTAGCACATAGTCCAGGATCTATTATAAAAGCAGTACCAAAGGGAAGAACTACCAAAAATAGTGGCTGATATCGTATTGCTGTTATTGAACAAATGGTACTTGTAGTAAGGTTCAGTGATCAACTTTCTGTTGAGAAATAATAACCTGCTTCCATACTGAAGTTTCAGCACTTTCGTGCTCTGGCTTTACTTGTCAAGCTTTTTAGGACAAAAACTTCCACGTCATCTTGAGAGCCATGTCCATTCAATCTCATGTTATCCCTCAAATATAGAAATCCTATACCAGTTAGTGGATTCCTATACAGACATATAATGTAACTTATTGGGTACCATGAAGCAAGAATGTGTAGTATTCAACAAGTGCGATTAGAACATTTTTACCTCAAGGCTAACAAGGAAGAAAAACAAGTAATTATTCTTCGGAACATTGTTAAGCGATTGAACAACATTCTTATCTCGTGTTTCTACTGTTTTCAAATGATTATACTTGTCTTTAATTTGCAAGGAACTCTCGAAGTTGAGACAAGAAATATATTCATCTCATAACCAAGCTTGCAGTAGTGGAAGGACTACAATTACCACTAAAAAGTAATGTATTTTTAATGAAATTTCATCTGGTTTTAGTTATTATATAATCCAAGTTATAGCATTAAATTTATGTGTGCGTGTGTGTGTGTGCGTGTGTGTGTGTTATAGCAATATATAAATTTATTTATAACCTTAGAGCTTGGTGTGTTTTGCAGGCCAGGAATTCTACTAAAGAAACAATTGCTTAATCCGAGGTCATAGAAACGTAAACCTATGTTTTCTTCTAAGAGTTTTACAGTTTTATCTATTATGTTTAGTTCTATGATCATTTTGAGTTAGTTTTTATATGGTGTAAAGTATGGATCCAAGTCCGTTCTTGTGCACAGGGATACTTAGCTGTCCCCGCAATAGTTGAATATTGAATATACTAATCTTTCCCCTATTGAACTGCCTTGGGACCCTTGTCAGTATTAAAACAATCATAAATATAAGGGCATATCTGTAGGCTCTCAAGTAGATTCTCAGTTGTACTCCATTGATCTATTTGTCTGTCTTTATGCCAGTACCATACAGTCTGGATTAGCATAGCTTTTTTTTTTTTTTTTTTTTGGTTAAGTTTTGAAATCAGGAATGAGAGCTTTCAAGACTGCTTACGCTATTTTGGGTCCTTTGATATTCCATATGACTTTTAGGATAAACTTGTCAATTTCTGTAAAAAAATTTCCATTGAGATTCCTACAGGAATTTAATTGAATATGTAGAAACTTTGGGAATTGTCACGTTAATTAACAATACTAAGTTTTCTGACCCATGAGCATGGGATCCTTTTCCATTCAGATCCCCTTTAACTTTTTAAAACTATATTGTGTAATTTTCATTGCATGCATCTTGCACTTATTTTGTTAAATTTATTTCTAAGTATTATATTTTTTCCTCTCAAATTAAATTAATTTGCATGACATTTGTTAATAGGGCCATATAGGTTTCAAGTGGACATTTCTATGATACATGGTCTGCATATTGCATTGTGTGCCCACCACCCAAAGTCAAAGCATCTTTTGTCACCAAATATTCAGCCCTATATTCTTGTTGATCTTTTCATTTTCAGATTGTACATTGCAACTGTATAGGATTAAAATATATTTTTGTGTATTGACTTTGTATTCCTTAACCTTGCCGAACTCATTTATCGATTCTAGTAATTTTATTGGATTTATTAAAAATTTTTGTTTCTAAAAGATCATACCACTTACAAATATAGTGTGACTTATTCATTTACAATCTTGGTGCATTTTGTTTCATTTTCTGATCTAACTGCCCCAGTAACTCCAGTGATGTGAAAGAGAAGTGACAAGAGTGAATATTCCTGTCTTGTGGTTTCTCTCAAGGACTTTGTGCATTTTTTCTCAGTTATCGAGTTTTGGGGGCATAAATTCATGATAATTTCCTTTATTATGCCTTTGTAACAAAGGTTTTTTTTTTTATTATGCTTTAAAGACATAGGATCACCCTTTTTAAAACAAAATCATTTAGCTATGACCGACATATAACATCGTATTAGTTTCAGGTGTACAATATGATCCTTCATATGCATACACTGCAAAGTGTGTACGTCTCAGTCTAGTTAACCTCCATCACCACACTTCATTACAAATTGTTCTGTGGTAAGAAATTTTAAGATCTACCCTTCCGGCAACTTTCAAACATATGATAGAGTAGTAGTAACGACAGCCATCACGCTATACATCACATCCTCAAGACATTGATAAGTGGAATTTTGTACCTGTTGACCATTTTCACCCATTTCTTCCACTCCTCACCACGCCCCCGCCCGTCTCTGGCAACCACCAATCTGGTCTCTGTTTCTGTGGGTTTGTATTTTTTTTGTTCCACATGTAACTCAGATCCTATGGTATTTGTCTTTTTCTGACTTAGGAGTATTGTCATAAATGGTAGGATTCCCTCAATTTTTAATGGGTGTATAATATTCCATTGTGTGTGTGTGTGTGTGTGTGTGTGTGTTTATACGTTAATTACTAGATCATACGGTAGATCTATTTTTACCTTTTTGAGGTATCTCCCTCCTGCTTTCCACAGTGGCTGCACCAGTTTGCATTCCCACCAATAGTGCACTAGGGCTCCCTTTTCTCCACAGCCTTGTCAACACTTGCTATTTTTTGTCTTTTGGATACAAGTCATTCTAACAGGTGTGAAGTGATAACTTCCCTTTCTTGGTATTGGAAAATTACGTGTTATCTCTTTCTTTAATAACGTTTGGTTAGAGCTATATGGATTTTAGTGATATTCTTGGAGAACCAGGTTGTTTTAATTCGTTTTCCTCTACTGTTTTATTATTTTTGTATTTCATTGATTTCTTATCTTTATTGTCTTTCTTATGTTTATTTTCCACTTAATCTTCTCTTTTTTAGTTTCTAACCTGGAAACATAGGACATTGATTTTAGACCATTTCTAATATAAGCTTTTATTACTATAAGTTTCTATAGAGCCACTATTTTAACTGCATCCTCCAATTTTAAGTCGTGGTTTCATGTGCATCCAGTTCAAAATATTTTTAAGTTTCCCTTTTAATTTGTTTTTTGACCCATGGGTTATTCATAACTGTATTCTTTAGTTTCCGAATCTTTGGGAATTTTCTAGGTATATTTCTGTCATAGATTCCTAATTTATTTTCGTTATGGTCAGAAAACATACTTAATATTCATTATTAACATTTTAAATTTATTGAGATTTGTTTTGGGGGCCAGAATAGAGACTCTCTTGGTAAATGTTGTCTTTAAAAAGAATGTGTAATTTGATGATGAAGGAAGCATTTTTTAAATGTCATTTAGCTCAGTTTGGTTATTAGTGTTGTTTATAACTTCTGTATCTTAACTGACTTTCTGTCTACGTCTAATATGAATAATTACCTTAGAAGGCATGCCAGAATCTCCAGGTCATAATGTGAATTTGTTTATTTCTCTGTTAATTTCTATCTGTTTTTGCTTCATGCATTTTGAATTTCTGGTAGGAGGTGTGTAAACATTTAGGATTGTTCAGTTCTACTGAACAAAATTAAGGACTGTTGCATTTTGTGGATGACGTCACACCTCCGTCATCATTAAATGACCCTTTATACTCCTCATAACGCTTTCTGTTCTGAAGGCTACTTCATCTGATATCATAATTATTCTAACTTTCTCTGATTACAGATTGCATGGTAAATATGTTTCTATTCTTGATGGTTTATTAACTTGTTTATATTTAAAACTTTTTTTATAAATAACATACGTAGTTGGGTCTTGTGTTTTTATTCAATGCAGCAATATTTGCCTTTTACTTAGAGTGTTTAACCCATTCACAGTTAATGTGGTTATCTGTTTGCATTTAAATTTACCATCTTGCCATTTATTTTCTATTTGTCCCATTTTGTCTTTGTTGCACTTTTCCTCTTTTTTTTTTGCATTTGGGTTAGTTATTTTTTTCATCATTGTATTCCACCTGTTTTATTGACCTATTAGGTATGCTTCTTTTTTATAATTGCAAAGGCTTAAAATATTCTTTATCTTATCACAGTCTACCTTCAAATAATATTACTATACCTCATCACATGTAGCATACAAACTTTATGATAGTGTATTTCCATTTCTCCTTCGCAATCTTATTGCTATCTTTGCCACACATATTTACTTTTACGTATATTATAAACTCTCAATACAGGATTATTGTCCTTTCAATAGTCAATTATCTTTAAAGAAATATGAATAAGAAAAAATCTGATCCTGTTTGAAATGTACCCACATATTTATATTTTCTGTTGCTATTCATTCTTTCACTGAGCTCCCCGTTTCCATCTGATATCATCTTTTGTCCGCCTGAGGAACTTCCTTTAACGCTTCTGGTCATGCTCCTCTGCTGACTTTTTATGTGGCTTTTGCCTTCATTATTCAAAGTCATTTTTACTGTGTATAGAATAGTAAGTCGATAGTTACTTTTTCTATCAGTACTCTAAAGATGTTCTTCCACTGTCTTCTGATTTTCACTGTCCGATAAGTTTGCTGTTTCTCTTATGACAGTTTTCCCTTCTGAGTTATGTTCTTTTATCTGTAATCTTTTTTACCACTGGTTTTCAAAAATTTGGCAATAATGAATGCCTGTGTTTTTCTTCATCATTCTTTTCCTTGATGTTCATTGGGCCTCTTGGCTCTGTGTGCATGCAGTATTCAGTAACTTTGGGAACAATTTGGTCATTATTTTGTCAATTATTTTTGTCTGCTGCCCATCCTTCAATGACACGTTATGAGGGCACCTGAGATTTTCCATAGCTAACTCACTCTGTACATTTTTCTCAATGCATTTACTCTCCTGTTTTATTTTGGATAATTTCCCTTGATGTATTCAAGTGTAGTAGTATTTTCTTCTACAGTGCCTAAGTGCTGTTAATCCCATACAATGTAATTTTTACCTGTAGAAGTCCAATGTAGATCTTTATATCCTTCATTGTTCTTCTCATAATGTTGATGCTTTCTGCTAATTATTTGAGTATATATTTTATATTTTTATATTTCTTTTTTAAAGGTTTTATTTATTCATTTTTAGTGAGAGGGGAAGGGAGAAAGAGAGGCAGAGAATCATTAATGTGTGGTGTGTGGTTACCTCTTGAGCTCGCCCTGCTGGGGACCTGGCCCACAACCTAGGCATGTACCCTGACTGGGAATCGAACCGGTGACCCCTTGCTTTGATACTCAACCCACTGGGCCACACCAGCCAGGGCTATATTTTCATATTTCTAATAGTTGTACACTTGCCTATTTGTTTCTTTTCTCTATCATTTCTTGGTCTGTTTTCTACTAATTTCTTTTTCTCTTATTAGTCATATATCCCTGCTTCAATACACGCTTGCTCATTTTTCATTGAATACCAAACATTGTGATTTTAGATACTAGAGTTCTGAATATATTTAATATCACTCTAAATATTTTGTGGTTTTGTTCTGAGATAAAGTTAAGTTACTTAGAAACAGCTAAGTACTCTTAAGTCTTGCTCTTGAACTGTCATCTTACTACTGAGGCAACGCTCTTCCCGTAGTTTCTGCCTGATGTCGCCCACACTAGTTCTTTCCTATCTGGTTAATGGAACACAAACTATTCCCATTACTGTGCGAGCTGGAGGAATTCCCATACTACTCCTTGCCAGTGGTTCTTTCCCCTCCCTGGGTACCTTTTTCACATTCCTACACTCACCCAAAGGCTTATGGGGAACCCTCTACGGTGTCCTGACCTGTCCCCACATGTGTAGCTCTCTCCTGTCTGTTATTCTGCTCCACCAATTCTGGCTGCTTTGGCATACTTTTACTTGAAATTCTGTCACCTCAGCTGGGTGAGCCTGCCAGGATCTGTTTGGCTTCCCTTTCCCTATACTGTGACCAAGGAAATCTTCAGGCACTTTGTAAGAAGCCTGTCATTTGCGTCCCTCCTTTGTGGTCACTATCTTGTGCTGCCTGTGGTCTATTATTCCCAGAAATAGAAGTGCCTCCCTCTTACCCTTTTGCAAATAATGGTAGTGAATCTTTATACACTAACAGGTGAGTTTTGTTGTTTTTTTTTGGAAAAAGTTAAGTCACGTAGAACCAAATTAATCTCATAAGGGGAATCAAACTAGGAGTGATGAAATAGGAATGGAAGTGATTTCCTTGTGCAGCTTGTAACTAACTCTTTTTCTGTGCAGGTACAAGACCCAATATCCAATCCTAGGTCTCCTGTATGATGACTATGAATACATACCACCAGGTAGTGACACACATACAGTCGTGATTGAGAAAACAGAGGACAAATGGACTTGTGTAAGTTCACTTGGGCCTATCCAGTCCTATTAGTACTAAAGATTTATATATATTCTCTATATAGCAGCCTTCAAAAACTCTGGTAAAAATATCAGAATGAGCTAAAATCTTACAGAATTTGGATTTTTTTTTCCTGTTAAGATATTTCCATATTTTCCTAGCTGATACATAGTAAGAATTAAGAAACTTTGAACTGATTCATACATGGGGTACTATAATTGAGTATCTAAACTGTAATAAACTATATAGGATTTTACCCCAAAAAGGAAGACAACATTGGCAATGTACTAATTTTATTGCCTTGCACATTTTGGAATTATTGAACCAATCCTATTCAAATTTTCAAAAAAACCTTATTTTTTCTAAAGCCGGTAGAAAGTGTCATAGGCAATTATAAAGGGGAATGCAAAATAGAGAAGCAGGTTTTAATATAATTTGTCTTGCAACCCTGTATGCGATACTTATTCCTGTAGGTCATACATTTTTAGGATTTTGAAAGAGAGGAGGTGTGTCTGTCTTTCTAACTAGACCACAAGATATTCTAGCTTTAAATCCCCTAGTTATAGTTAAGCTCATGAAGGTCAGGTACTCTACTATGTACCTTCTATAACATTCTCTAGGATGACCAGATGATACGGACCTTAGCATCTTTCTAAATAGTCCAGTACATTGCTAAGGAGGCTGATTACGAAAACTTACTCTTGTAAAGGACTGAAAACTACTTTCCTAAAAATTCTACTTATTGACCTAGAACAGCAAATGGGATATAGTTTCCCTATCTTTTTCTTATTCCTGGGAAATATATCTCGGGATATATTTCCTGAAATATATACTGGGATATATGTTTCCAGAGCAGTTCTCTATCAGGGGCAAATTTTGCCCCTTAGGAGACATTTAGCACTGTTTGGGGACATTTTTGGTTTTTACAACTAGGGGTTAGGTACTATTGGCATCTGGTGGGTAAAGTCCAGGGATACTGTTAAACAACCCTACAATGTTTATTATACTTCAATAAAGGCCTTAAAATGCTTAACCATACCATGATGAGCAATAGACAAATATACAAATTCCAATCAATCATTTGCAGAAGCTTTTGAAAAACCTTGAAGATCACAGATTTATAGTGAATAAAATACTATAGATGCATAGTTAATAAAAGTAAGCATCTATTAAATAACTCACTTTAAAGTTATCTTTTGGTTGAACAAGATGAAATATTTAAGTGAAAAAAAAAAAGAATTCAGAGAGTGTTTAGCTCTGAAGCCCTTTTCTAATCACAATCGAGCCACTGACCTTGTCTACATGGTTCTCTCTCATCAATAAAATAAAAATAATTTGACCTTTGACATATGTTTGTGTTTCTTAGGTCATTCATTAGTTGAGAATTACTTACCATGAGTTGTCAACTAATAAAAGGTATTTGATAGCTCCAGAAGCAGATGAGCAGCAAGGGAAAGTCAGTATAGGTGTTAAAATTCGTTCCTCAGAGATTATTTGATGGTGAAATTTAAGACCGAAAAGCAAATTGCTGCTCCTAACCACATGTGCCCCAGAGGTGGCCTCGATGTGAAGATATGGCAAATAAAGGGTCCACAGAATGGTAGTCATTACTACTCTCTCCATTAGAAACGTGCAGTGATAAATATCAAAATTAGTATCTTAAAGGACTAGATACTGACAGTAAGTCCAAAATAGAGTTGAAATGTCTATATTTATTAAAGATGGAATATCTATATTTATTAAAGACATGTGGTCACATTTAACCTCTAAATATGACACCAAGGAAGAAATTTACTGACTCCTCCCTCACTACCGCGTAAAGCCATTCGAAATATATACCTTGACTAAAGTCAGACAAAGCAGTTTCATCGAAAGAGCCCCACAAAAGAGCATCACAATAAAGCTATACATTCCCTTTGGTTTATGTCTATCGATTTAAATTATTTTTCAAAACTGTGTGCTTACCATAACAATGGCTAAAATTAATTATGAGCCAGTAGTGAACTTTTTTTTTTCTTTTCTAGCCATGAACGACTCTCCAACTCAAAGAAGAAGATTATTTTGGGGGGAGGGGTCTGCGTTAGTACTTTAATTATTATATTTCCGTAACTAGAGGCCAATCCAAATTCTGAACAATGGCACTACCAGCGAATCTAATGGAATGAATTAGTTCTCCACACAAGTTTCTCCAGCCACTTACGAGGCCTGAATCCTATCACATTCTTGTATTCAATATAGAATTCGCCGCTTATGTAAACTTCCATTGCAGACAATGTAGGATATAATTCACTATTTTTCAAGAGGATGCATCCTAGATACTGCATTAACTGGTCAGGGTAGAGATTTTATAAGTTATTCCATTAAATGATTTTTCTCTGATATTAGATATGCAATTCAGCTACAAGGATAGATATTGTTTGTTATCAAAAAAATAGGCGAGAGACTGTTGAATTTAAAAAAACAGTTTAGTGTATGGTGTATACAGTGTATATTTGTTTTTCTCACATGGAACCTTGTGACTAGAAAAGATGCTTCATTACATGCTATTTATACCTTTCAGAGACATAACTAAATCAAAGGTGATGGTTAACTTCATTAAGTAGGAAAGCGGGATTAATATCTTTTCAAATAAATAAATCCACTAGTTTGCACATTGCACTATTATGGTTCTAAGTACATGTCAGTGGCTTGGCAAATCTCTGCTTTCAAAGTATATCATCCCCAAATGAGCTCACTTCCTTCCTTAAAAACATATAACAATATATTGTAGTAGTGGGTTAAAAAAAGGTAGACATTTTTATAGGGGAATACATAATGTAACATTGAAATATTGCAAAAAGGCTTAACTTAAGAAAGAAAAATAGTAACGACAAATTATCAATATCTGTATGCTACTTGGGAAAAAGAGATTTTATAGTAAGAGTATTTAATGTGCTTAGAAGTTGGTTGATTCATTGGGTTCTAGTGACCTTACAAAGTGAACAAAAATATTTTCTAAATTCTTAATTACGAGCACTCTGCTTAAAGTTGATAATTAGCAAAAATTAAAATGTTTGCATTTGACAAAATATGGATTAAGGCAACAAATATATCTGGGTTACATTTGAATGAGTTTTGCAAATATCTATATAGAATTCTGTCATATCTGTTAAGATAGGAACAGATGAAACACTACAATAAATAAAACCATAAATGAGAAAATGCTATTAATACTCATAATTTTCAAGTAGGTTTTGATATGGAGCTAAAAGCCTTATTTTGTTATCTTAATACTTTGACTCAAATGTCTAGCTCTATAATATGGATTGATACAACTCTAATTTTATCAATATTTTGTGATAGAAAATGTTAATATTCCTCATGAGCTATGTAGTCCTTACATTTTTCCCTGCGGTGTGGAAACAGCAGGGCACTTTTTCTCTTGCAAACTACTCACACATGTAACTGTAACAATATTATGTCATGTTATATATCCATTACATTTAATATAAATGGAAGCTCTTAGTATCCTAATAGAAAACTGCCACTATAACTGTTTGAAACTTAGAACAAGTGGAATTTTTCCCAATAACAATCCAAAATAACAGTTCATAACATGGGACCGTTGAGAAGTCGGCACATCATGGGCTCACTTCATCCACGCCTAGTGGTACTTATTACACTTAATAAATCTAAATGGATGTATTTCTTTTCCAATGTGTGAGTAAATAAAAAGAGCAGTGATTTCTTTTCTCTCACAACTTTTACATAGCTTATCTCTGCAAACTGCAAAAATGTTGTCAGGTGAGAGATGCCTGTAATGCAATTTCCATCCTGGTATGTTTCACTTTAGATGTCAAATAAAATGGAGACTGTGCAAGAAATGCTAAACCATCTAAGTGTCTGAATAAAATACGTGAACTAGCTGTATGGTCTTTGTGAAAGTCCTAGTAAAACACATATAGGATGGATTTTTAGCTATACGTTTTTTTCCCAGGAAGTTACTGACATATAAATGTTTATGTTAGAGCAAAAAACACCTCTCTCTAAAAAAAGGGGGGCCTGATGTGGATTATGTGGATCACTAGTGACCACAATTTAACATACTTAAACCTCCAGTTGTTGAAGGTTCTGCTTCAAAAGAAAAGCCTAGTCTTACAAACCGAGTCTTCTAATGTCCGTATCTCACTTGTTGCAAATTATGATTCCGTAAAGCACTCTTCCCATCCTTGTAATAGTATTTTAAGTGCAGTCTTTTTCTGAACACAAACAAAATAAAGGATCAAAATGAAGCTTAAAAAAATTTCATCACACCACCTTGACAAACAGCTTTTCTTACTTCATTCCCATTATATTATTGTAACCTACAAAGATGATATGTAGACATAATTCTTTTTTTGTCACGTTCTCTCTTCATCTTTTTTTTTCTTTTATATATTTTGTGGAGTTAATATAATCTTTTTTATAGGACTAGGTTCTAAGAGGAGAAAAGAATTTTGATTGGACACTTAGTTCATGTCCATGGGTCGTGCATGTAAGTTCTTTGGTTCCTCCATTTCCTATACTATTCTTAACCTCCCCCTGCCTATTTTGTACCTACTATTTATGCTGTTTATTCCCTATACCTTTTCCCCCCATTCTTCCCCTTCTCCCTCCCCTCTGTTTTACTGTTCATAGTTTTTGATCTCTTTTTTCTTTGATAGGTCCCTTTAACATTTCATATAAGGGCTTGGTGATGATGAACCCCTTTAACTTGATCTTGTATGGAAAGCACTTTATCTGCCCTTCCATTCTAAATGACAGCTTTGCTGGAGAGAGCAATCTTGGATGGGGGTCTTTGCTTTTCATGACTTTGAATACTTCTTGCCAGCCCCTTCTTGCCTGCAAGGTTTCTTTGGAGAAATCAGCTGATGGTCTTATGGGAACTCCTTTGTAGGTAACTGTCTCTTTTTTTCTTGCGGCTTCTAAGATTCTCTCCTTATCTTTAATCTTGGGCGACTTAATTATCATGTGCCTTGGTGCGTGCTTCCTTGGGTCCAACTTCTTTGGACTCTCTGAACTTTCTGGACTTCCTCGAAGTCTATTTCCTTGGCCAGATTGGGGAAGTTCTCCTTCGTTATTTTTTTCAAGTAAGTTTTCAATTTCTTGCTCTTCCTCTTCTTCTAACACCCCTATGATTTGGATGTTGGAACATTTAAAGTTGTCCCAGAGGTTCCTAAGCCTCTCCTCATTTTTTTGAATTCTTGTTTCTTCATTCTGTTCTGGTTGAATGTTTATCTCTTCCTTCTGCTCCCAATCATTGATTTGGGTTCTGGTTTCCTTCCCTTTACCGTTGGTTCCCTGTATATTTTTCTTTGTTTCACTTTGCATAGCCTTCACTTTTTCCTCCATTTTGTGACCATACTCAACCAAGTCAGTGAGCATCCAGATGACCAGTGTTTTGAATTGTGCATCTGATAAGTTGGCTAGCTGTTCATCACTTAGTTCTATTTTTGGAGCTTTGATCTGTTCTTTCATTTGGGCCAAATTTCTCTGTCTCAGCGCACGCCTTACATTAGGAGGGGCAGAGACTTAGGTGGTCCCCAGGGCAGGGCAACCCAGGTCGCTGAGTTGTGACGCTGTGTGTGGGGGAGGGATCCAAGAGGGAACAATGCCACTTGCTTGGCTCTCCACTGGCTTTCAGTCACTTCCCCCTCTACCCACCAGCAAATTGGGCTCTTCTGGTGCTGATTCCCAGGTGGGTGGGTTTTTGTATGTTCTAGGAACCCGTGGGTCTCTCCAACGGACTCTCCTGTGAGGCTGGGAGTTTCTCCTGCCGCTGCAACCCCCACAGGTTTTCACATCCACAGGTTTTGAGGCTGTCTTTTCCCCACACTGGAACCCTGAATTGCGCGGTCTGTCTCACTCCCCAGCTGTTCCTCCGGTTTATTCACATGCACATGTGGGACCACCTCGTCCACCAGCCGCCACCTTGCCTGCCCTGCCCTCTAGCTGCTGCTTGTCACACGTCCTCTCCGCCCCGGCTGCCCCTCTCGGCCCCTCCTACCTGTCTGGATGAATGTTTCTTTTTCAACTCCTTGGTTGTCGGACTTTCATACAGTTCGATTTTCTGGCAGTTCTGGTTATTTTTTGTTTTTAAATTTGTTGTCCTTGTTTTGGTTGTGCGAGGAAGCGAAGTGTATTTACCTACGCTGCCATCTTGGCTGGAAGTCTGTAGTTCATGTCATCTTAATACCAATAACCTGGGCTCCAGCAAAGGCGGGAGCAGAGTGGGCTAGAGACACCTGAAGAAAGACTGGGAAAGGAGGCTTTGGGGAGAGAACTGAGAGTAGCCGGCAGGATCCCAGTGCTGACTCATCCCCCACGCAGCAGCAGCCAACTTGCTCAGACAGACCACGCTCCTGTCTTTTATATTGTTGACACTTACAGATGGACCGTTTCTCCCCCCTGCCTGCGTCCACTCAGTGTCCCCTTCCCTCTGACCGTCACCACACTGTTGTCTGTCTATGGGCTTCGCATATATGTTCATATATGGGCTTCGCATATATAGAAGGGATCTGGCTAATCCCTTCCCCTTCTTTCATCCAGTCCCCCAATCCACCTCCCGTCTGACAGCTGTCAGCCTGTTCCATGTGTCCATGCCTCTGATTCTATTTTGTTCGTTAGTTTATTTTGTTCATTAGATTCCACGTGTAAGTGAGATCATATGGTACTTGTTTTTCTCTGGCCAGCTTATTTCACTTAGCCTAATACTCTCCAGTTCCATCCATGCTGTTGCAAAGGAGCTCCTTTCTTTCTGCTGTGTAGTATTCCATTGTGTAAATATACCACAGTTTTTTGATCTACTCATTTACTGATGGGCACTTAGGCTGTTTCCAGCACTTATCTACTGTAATTAACACTGAATTGAACATTGGGGTGCATATATTCTTTCAAATTGGTGTGTTGAGGTTTTTAGGTTATAGTCCCAGAAGTGGGATCACTGGGTCAAAAGGCAGTTTCTTTTTTAATTTTTTGAGGAAATTCCATACTGCCTTCCACAGTGGCTGCACCAGTCTGCATTCCCACCAACAGAGCACCAGGGTTCCCTTTTCTCCACATCCATTCTAGCACTTGTTGTTTGGTAATTTATTGATGACCATTCTGACTGGTGTAAGGTGATTATCTCATTGTGGTTTTAATTTACATTTATCTGACAATTAGTGACGTTGAGCATCTTTTCATATGTCTACTGGCTATCTGTATGTCTTCTTTGGGGAAGTATCTATTCAGGTCCTTTTCCCATTTTTTAATTGAATCATTGGTCTTCCTGGTGTTCAGTTGTATAAGATATATATTTATATCTGTATATATAAAGTATATACAACTCAAGTAATCCACATCTGAATATACAACTGTGTGTGTGTGTGTAACTTATACAATGGCTATATATATAATCTTGGAAATCAACCCCTTATTAGATGTATCACTGGTGAATATGTTCTCCCATTCAGTGGACTTCCTTTTCATTTTGGTGGTTTCTTTTGCTTTGCAGAGGCTTTTTAATTTGATATAGTCCCATTTTTTAAAATTTCCCTTGCCCTAGGAGATATATTGGCAAGCATATTGCTAGAGAGAACTAAGACTTTACTGCATGTTTTCTTGTAGGATTTCTATTGTTTCGCAACTTACATTTAAATAGTTTACCCATTTTGAGTTTATTCTAGTGTATGTTGTAAGTTGGTAGTCCAGTTTCATTTTTTGGCGTGTATCAGTCCAGTTCTCCCAACACTATTTATTGAAGAGACTGTCTTTACTCCATTGTAGGCTCATGCCTCCCTTGTCAAATATTAATTGACCATATAGGCGTGGGTTGATTTCCGGCTCCCTGTTGTGTTCCATTGATCTATATGCCTGTCCTTATGCCAGTACCAGCCTGTTTTGATTATAATGGCCTTGTAGTATAGTTTGATGTCAGGTCCTGTGATCCCTCCAACTTTGTTCTTTCTCGAGCTTGCTGAGGCTATTTGGGTCTTTTTTTGTTCCCATATAAATTTTTAGAATATTTGTTCTAAATCTGTGAAATATGACCCTGGTATTTTAATAGGAATTGCACTGAATCTACAGATTGTTTTGGGCAGTATGGACATTTTAATGATGTTAATTCTAATCCGTGAAGACAGTATTACACTTCTACTTATTTGAATTCCTCAATTTCTTCCTTCAATGTCCTAAAATTTTAAGAAATAAGTACAGGTCTTTCACCTCCTCGGTTAAATATATTCCTAGGCACCTTTTTGTTGATGTTGTTGCAATAGAAAGCCCTAAAGATTTCAACAAAATCTACTAGAACTAGTAAGTGAATTCGGCAAAGTAGCAGGATACAAAATTAATATTCAGAAATTGGCAACATTTCTGAATATTGACGTTTCAGAAAGAGAAACTAAGAAAATAACCCTATATTATATTATTATTCATAATAATGACGTTTCAGAAAGAGAAACTAAGAAAATAACCCTATACACTTCATTATTTTCAAATTAAGAAGAAGGCTTCCTTACAAGGTTACCTTCCCCCCCCACACACACACCATTACCAAGTTTATTGGATTTCTATAGTACTTTCTGTCTAATAAAAAATACAAACTATTTCATGTTCATCGTAGGATAAAATAGTAAATATGTTTGAAAATAAAGGATGTAATAAACATTTGCATCTGCTTTAATAAAATCTTTACTATTTAGTGACAAAATAAGACACACATCTTTGAGTCTACAAAGGAACACTGGCATTGTTATATGACATCATTACATGATAACCAGGCACTCTTGGGGATCTCCTTGAATTGGCCTCTCGTAGGTGAGATGTTAAGTCCAGGGTATTTGGTTTGGTTTTCCATCCCATTACATTAAAATACTTTTGTGATTCAATTTGTGTTCCAGAACCCCTTTATGTTAAGGGATCGCCTTTGTAATATAATGCTGTGATTCAATATCTGGTTTGCTAACACAATCAGTGTTGAACACCCCTGGCTCACGTGCCAAGATACAACAAATCAGACTGGTTTCTTAACATGGGAGAATATATAGGCTTCTCGAGGTAGTTCCTTAGAGGGGTCTGGTGAGCCAGCCATGTCATAATGGGTAGATGGTACTGGGATCTAGGATGACAATGTTTTGGAGTCAGGGGGAGGTGACTGGGCCTTATACTATGGGTTAAATGGGATAGTTTTAAGTATTACCAATTGGTCCAAAATGAAACATGAGGCAGCGTTCCCTTTGAAATAGTTATTCTAGTAATGTTAAAAGAAAAGGTTTAGCAACTGGAACAAGGCAGGTGAAAACATTTTTGTTGTTTAGAATTACCTAGTGCTAGTCTTGGACCCTACAAATGTCACAATCTCTTTTACAGGGTGTCTAAGCTGCCAATAACACTTGCCGGTTCTTACCTACAATCCAAGGTTCTAAGAGATCTTTTTAAGTCACTGTGGACTTCACAAGCTAATTATTTTGGAAGAACAAGTTGGAACTAAACAAATTTGAGACCATTCCATAATACAATGATATTTTAGGGTACTAATCTAGTTCTGCATTTTCTCCAAAAGAAGACTTACTAGCCAGAAAAACTTTATTGGATCGAATTCCAAGTCTAGCCAGTATTTTTTTTATTCTCACAAGGGGAAACAGTCAAAGATCTGTAGGAGAGGTTTCTTTTGTTTGGCTTCCTGTGAGATGAGTCTTTTTTGGAAGTAGGCATATTTAAGATGAAGAATTTCGCTATGTATTCTTTCAAATACCCTTAAAAGGATGTCTAGGATTTACTTCAAATTAAACCAATGAGATCAGGTGGCTTCAAAATAAACCAATCGGGTAGGTGGGTACAGGAAGGAGGGAGGGAGAATATACATGAAACAAAACTGTTTGTGAAATGGTAACTGTTGAAGCTAGGTGGCTATATACTTTAAGATATTGTGGCTGGGTGGCTATTTAAGATGCTTTTATATACTCCAGTAGAACAATATACTGTTCTTTTATTTTTATATGTGGTGGAAAAATAGATCTATCATATTTTTAAGGGCAGTTCAAGTCTAAAACTGCTGGCTGTCCTGTATGAGCTTGAGTTCAATTTTAGAGCCATATCAAAGTAGCAATCCCAACTGACAGTAATAATCCTTTCCTCCCCATCATGTAGAAGTGACAATCAGAAAAACCCATTTCCACAAAATAGCCCTGACCTTTTCTGGAAAAATGCTTTTAAAATAATTACCAAATTATTTCTCCTTTTTTAAGATGGTATTTTGACCTGCATTTTTAGGTGAAATGTTTTGTCACAAGACAGGTCTGTGCAGTCAAATTTTTATATAAATATAGTTTATAGTTTTATTTATTTTTTAGACAGACGGGAAGAGAGGGAGAGAAATATCCATGTGTGGTTGCCTCTTGCGCGCCCCCCACGAGGGACCTGGCCTGCAACCCAGACATGTGCCCTGGCTGGGAATCGAACCAGCGACCCTTTGGTTCACAGGCTGGCACTCCATCCACTGAGCCACACCGGCCAGGGCCTCAAATTTATATTTTTAAGACAGGTTTTTGTTTGTTACATGGGCTAAATTTTTATTTGTTCTATCTTGGATGGGGCTTTCTAGACCCAGTTTATAAGAGAAAGATAGAAAGTCTATCCCCTTTTCTCCAGCTCCACTGTAACCACGGACAGCTAGAATAACCTGTTTACAAGGCTTCCTACTTCCTTCAGCTTCTTTGCTTCCACAGCCTCCAAAATAATCATCGAAATATAAATCATATCACACATTCCCTTCCTTAAAACCTTCCAATGGCCTCCCATTTCAAATTCTCCCGCGTTTCATCTCTTATCAGTCGCCCTCACCAAGATCCAGCCAAAGGTTACTGGCATGTTTCTCTGCCTTGAATGTTGTTCTGCAAGATCTTCATGTGACTGGGTCCTTCTTGTCACTTATGTGTCAGCTCAACAGCCATATCCTTAGTACCGACTGCCTCTATCTACGCATCCATAGCTATCTGTGTAAGTGAAGTTGCCAAAAAGTGCAAGAATCACACTGGGGACTTTTGTCTCTCATAGGAGTGGCACACGGGAGCTCCCTGAAAATGCAAAATTGAAGGCCCCATCCCACAAGTACCGACTCAGAATATGTATTTAACAAGATCCCTAAGTGAATTCTACAGATATTAAAGCTTAAAAAAGCACGGATGTACCATGTAAGGAATGACTAGCATATTCTTTTTGTTAGTGATCATTAAAGTATAATTAACCCAACTGACAGTCTTAAGCAACAGTGCTATATATCCAGGTGCATGAATTGGACTGAACGATGACTAGTTTGAATATAGCAGATAATTTTTATGCTCATTTGCAGAAACCTTTCTCAAACATTTAACAGTTTTCCTCTTGACTGTGCAATGCTCTATTAGGAATGTAATTTTAGATTCATTTCCCAGGATTGTGTTACTTATTAATTAGGTTATAAATTTTTAGTTTTTTCTAAAATATTAAATATCAAGTCTTAAGATGGGCACCTTTAGAGCTTTTCTGTCATGGTTTTAGCAAAAGCTTACACTTCTGAGGAATAATCATGCCAGTCATTATAACTGTTTACTTTAAATTCCTAACTTGCATTGTTGGTAATGCACACAATTCTACAACACATTAAACTGCAGACCACATTGCCTAAGGGCAATTTTCAGTGGAAAATCTTTCGGTAAAGAATGAAGAGTTCAGCAACACTTTAAATAAATTCGTACAACTTTGAAGTGCAATAAATGCTTTTTATTGTATGCTCATTTCAATGAGTAACATTTAGAAATAATAATCCCACGTAACATTGACAATCTTATTTTACAGCGTGTACATCATTTACAGCCACATAACACACAATTTTAGATTTTCCAAATTTAATATTCTGAAGTTAAGAAAGATAAAAAATTTATTCTCAAGGAACTGATTCTTATCTGGTGCAAAAACAGAAAGGTGAACATCAGTTAAAACACAAAGCCACGATATAGTGTGAAGTAAAATTACATTTTAATTATGTTGAACAGCTGAGTGTAAACATGAAGCAACTAAAACTTAAAAGTACACATCATATGCATTACATTTATGAACAGGATTTCATTAAATTTCCCTAAACCAGCTTTTTATATTAAGCGCCATTTTGATTTGCAGCATGCTAACACAAAGCGTTGTTAAAGGGATGCATATTTTAAATTTATACACTGTAAACGGAATATCCACCTCTGAAGTCTATTGGCAGCGCAGTGTTTTGTTAACAAAACAATAAACACTGCCTCATATTGAAAATTCATGTTAACTATATGGTATATAGATTTTAAAAATCAAAAATTTCAATAATGGCATAAAATTGCACCTTTAAACATTAGAGCAAGTAAGACTGGAACCATCATACTTGCTGAGACTGTCCTAAAAAAACCTTCTAAACGTAATAATATTTAAGAAAACTGCGTTCTCTCAATTTAATCTTTAAATCATTAAGAAATATAGTGCTACCTTTGTTTGCAACACTACCGGTTGCATCCGTTCTAGAAAGCCATATTTGACTCAAATATACTTCTGTTATATATGCCATACGGAACAACAGTCAACTTGAACATCAGGAAAAGGGGAACTTTAATCCTTAGATTTCACCTCAGACTTTAGCACGGAATGCTAATGTTTCAAACACCCTGCCCTGTGATCACCATTTTAACAGCTCTGAAATTCTTTTGAATAGTATTGAATGACTCTCACCCGTTTGCTAGTGGAATTGATTTTAATATATGAACTTGGATTTCTGGAATTTATTTTCCAGGTACCATATAAAGGGCTCAATGAGTACATGAGTGAGGGGCGGCTGCATTTTACCTCCCATCTCATTGCTAAGGTTCCATAAAAGTGAGACTTACTTGTCATAGCAAATCCTTGCTAAACTATTCAATTATGTATGTTTTTTCTCCGAATCACATCTCTGGTATGATCAGCCAAATAAAGTCATAGTCTTTGCTCTTCCCATAGTTTATGCATATAATCCCATTAAATCGACACAGGAAGTGTTTCTACAGCCATTCTATGGTGCTTCTTAAATTCTTTCAGTAATTTTCCAAGGGCCATGAGATCCCCCTGTCAATTCAAATATCTTTAATACAAAGAATGTAAAGTTATGATTTAATATCAAGTTTGTAACCAGATGAAAGAGTTTGTGAAATTTTCCTGCCACGTAGCATATCAAATTCTCCAAACAGCTTCTTTCTTGATATTGGTCTCATTACATAAGCGCCTCCTTGTGGTGCCTCATGATATGCTGATTTTTTTCTGATGGTCTTCGGAATCCCTTCTTGCAGAATTCACACCTGTGTGGATAGTCTTTTGTATGTATCGATATCACGTGTCGCTTGAAGCCAGATGCGTCTGTAGTACTGTACTCACAATACTCACACTGGTAAATCTTCCTTCCGGTGTGGGTCTTCATATGCTTTTTGAGCTCATTTTGTTGTCGGAACCCTCTCTTGCATCTTTTGCACTTCAATGACTGATCCTTGGTATGAACTGACAGGATGTGGCCACTCAGAATAAACGGATCTGAGGTCTTAAAGTCACAGTGCCTACACTGATGGATCTTCCTGCCCTTGTGGATGTCACTATGCTTTTTGAGCTCAGAAGGACGATGGAAACCTTTGTCACAGACCTCACATTTGTGAGGAAAATCCTTAGTGTGGACAGATATGATGTGCCGCTTAAGGTCACTTGAGTTGGTGCTCTTGTGGTCGCAGTGAGGACACTGGTGTGTCTTATGTCCTTGAAACAAATCCAGATGGCGTTGAAGCTCCCTCTCGTCACCAAATGCTTGGGGACAATGCTCACATTTGTATGGCAAGTTGTTACCATGCTTAGACTTAATGTGAGTTTTCAGATTTGATTGGTCTGCACACCGAAACACACAATACTGACACTGATATGGCTTCTCACCAGTATGGGTTCTCATATGTTTTTTGAGTTCTGAAGGATGTCGAAAGCCCTTCCCGCACTCGACGCAAACATGAGGAAAATTCTTGCTGTGAACAGCCAGTAAATGTCTGTTTAATAGTCCTTGTTCTGCAGTCTCATAGTCACAGTATTTGCACTTGTGCATCTTCGGCTCCTTGTCTCTTAGTATAAGTTTATTGGAACTCAGTGGACTAGCTTCTCTGTATCTTCGTGTATATTCTGTGAATTCATGGGTTTTGTCAACTTTGTTAATGAGCTTATGGCTTTCTAAGTGGTTATGGAAACTCACTTTCTTGTTAGTTGTGAAGTCACAATCTGTGCACTGGTATTTCTTTCTCATCAAATGATCAGGATGATTCTTCATGTGTCTTTTCAAGAATCCCCTTGATTTAAACTTTTTTGTGCAAATATGGCAAGGGTATACTGTCAGGGGCTGTCCATCAGGGCCTATTATAACAGCTAGATTAAAAAAAAATAGGGAAGTTGTGACATTTGGCCAGACTGTTGAAAGGATTTCATAACAAAAGCGCCAAAATTACCTGACATTCACAATGTGAGAACTACGCTAGTGGAATAAAATCTTGTAAGATAAAATGCACACTGAAAGCAATTTATCATAAAGTGGATCATTAAAAATTAATGAGAAGCACTCCGCTATAGAATACTCATCTGCCAAAATACTATATTACATGCAGTTTGTACACTAGAAACAGGCAGCCTTTACTGCAAAACCAACCTGAAAATTCTCTTTAAAAACATCATCTGGGTAAAGAGCAAACAAGCATCGTTTTATTAAGTACCACTCAAACATACTAAAAAAAAAAGAAAGAAAAAAAAAGAAACTTAACTATGTAGACCAAACACAAACAGGTATGTGGGAGCAAAACTCTACTGAAACAACCGGTTTTTTCTTCGGTTCCAAAAAGCTAATTCCCCATTTCCAATCATTATAACATTTGTAAAACGAAGTACTAATACGTTACCTGTTTGCCACTGCCTCGTCTCTCCCCTTCGCCTCTTCTTGGCTTTTTGTTTAAGTACTTTATTCGTGTTGATGCTATCACAAATTTGAAGGTACTGTGCTGTTGTACTACTTCTGTTTTCTAATGTTGAATCCAGAGTATTTCCTGGAAAAATTGATACACAATTAAACTCCAGAGATGTCTACATTTTTGCTCTTTGTTAGATCAGTGACTGGAGAAGACAGGGCCTCGGGGTGCCATTACTAATGAATGCCACACTGGGGTAGTAAATTTCACAAAACACACCCATGTGATCCTCTGGTACACGCTTACATACACACACACACACACACACACACACACACACACACAAAAGTTTATGCAGACACTTTAAAGAGGATATGCCATAAAATGAATTTTAAAATAAACTGATAAGGTGACTGTACCATGAAAAACTGTCACGACCCCAAAGGAAACCTTGGCATCAGATGAATTTATCAACAATGAAGGCTATGAAATCAGAGAGATTTAGCCCAGAAATACACATGTCAGTAGACCACTATCGTCATGGTGCCTATGAGTAACACTAACAAACAAGAAAACTCTTGCATATATGCTTTGGAATAGTTTACTTAATGTGAAAAGTATGAAAAGGTATTTTGAGGTAGATGCGGCAGACAATTTACCACAGTTTCAGTGGGATCAATGCATACAGAATAAAGCACTTCATAAAAGCTCAGTTTGCAGCAATCTGTTGTGTTATGCAATTTAAAGATGTAGACCTACAAAACTCTTTAGTTTATATAGCATGATTTTGCCTCATTACTTCCTCTGAAATTCTACATTTACATTTAGTGAGTCAAACACCTCCTAAGGGTAGAAAGAGAACAGACATACAGTATATCATAAGAAAGTCTCTTGGCCTAAGAAAATAAAATGAACTACTTCTTAACCATGGTATAACACAATATGGAGTATATTAAAATAAAAAAAAAAAAACACACCGCCCTGGCTGGTGTGGCTGAGCAGATGGAGCGTCGGCCTGTGAACCCAAAGGTCACTGGTTGATTCCCAGTGCAGGGCACATGCCTGGGTTCGGGGCCAGGTCCCCAGTAGCGGGCGCACAAGAGGCAACCACGCATTGATGTTTTTCTCCCTCTCTTTCTCCTTCCCTTCCTCTCTCTTGAAAAATAAATAAGTAAAATCTAAAAAAAAATACACGCTAACTCATGGGTTTTATGTAACACTTATATAAATCTATAGGCTGCAATAAAAACAATTAGAAAACAGTGCTTCCCCAAGGAAAATATGACCAAGTAGTTGATGTCATGGACAATTTTTACATTTCTGTCAAAATAATTCCTATTTTATATTTTTCCATCGCAGCCTTTTGTGGACCGTGTGGTAGGCTGCCTGATACGTGTATCTTGAGGTAAATCTAAATTAACTACATTCACAGAATAACATACACTATGCTGTATATAGATTAATCAATCCCCCAAAGAGACAAATTCCTATGTAACCAATCAGATACGATCAAGCAAGTAAGAGCCCATTCGAGAAATATGTCTGTACATACAAACTAATAACTCTTCATTTGCCAAGCAATATGTAAAACTGGCTGTTCAATTTACAGCTCACTTATAAAGCTCTCTCACCTGCTGCTTGACAATCTTCATACCTTCGTGAAACTCTCCTTTCATCTCCTAAAAAAAAGACTAATTACACACTGATATGCTGAATATAATGATTACTAGCGGGTCACATCTTAATCTATAAAATCTTGCTCGACCACCGTTCCTTGGATTAGGCTTTTTTGGTGGCCAAGTTTCTCCACTCCCATGGGTTAAGTAATCTCATACACTGAACAAAAGGCCCGCCGCCAGCATCCTCGGAACTGTTAGTGTCCCGAACAATGTTTCTAAACAAAAACTTGGTAGATATTTCTGCAGAGTTGAAATCTGAAGATGCTCACTGAATGGATGGACCTCTAGGAAAACCAAGTTAAGATAAATTAATGCATTTGAACACCAGAGTTTCTCAAAGTAAAGAGTATACCTGTACCATCTTGGAAATTAAGTAGGAATGAGATGAAACAGAAAAGAAAAAAAATAACTTGATAAATTTACCTTTGATTATGTATTTTCTAGAAGATCACACTTGGTTGGATTTCTTTTCCTTTTAAAAATCCCAAAATCTTATTATTTGTGGTGTTAATACATGAAAATATGATTTTCCAAAAGGGGGAGGATCAATTTTCAAAGAATATTCCTATTTTAGAAAAATAAAACTTTTTGGCACTCACTTATAATAGGTAGGACTTAAAATAAATCTGACTTGAAAAAATAATGCATTAAGCAAGGTTCATTTTAAATAACACAAGATATTTACATGGTCCAAAAATCACGTCGGTAACTGGAGGCGAATCAGTGTACAGCAGAACATATTATACCATTAGCCAACTCATAAAGGGCAGGATATTTAACGACCTAAAGGCCGATCGGATAGGTATGTTATGTACTTATCAGGTGAAAATGCCGACAACAGGGACAATGTTGTTACTGACACCAGAAGTTCCTTCCTGTTCCCTGCAATGACTTCCATGTAAACTTCAGCTGCTATTTCAGAGCAACCTAAATCGTAAAAATAACTGCTTGTTTAGAACCCCAAATAGTTAATAGGTAGGTAAAAATTCCAAACAATTTAAAGCCTTCAACTTTCAAGATTTCAATTTGGTTAATTTGCAAATTACATTAGGCCCTTCGGAAGCTAGTGCCATGAAGAGACAATCATTTATCAAAATTCTTTTCTCCTCTTAGAACCTAGTCCTATAAAAATGACTTGTAGATTACATAGAACATGTGCGTTTGAAATATACTGACTGATTTTACAGTCCATCGGGCATCACAACTTTATTAAAAGGACTGTATTCCATAATTCTATCTGATAGTTCTTTGAAACGCAGAAAGCATTTTCATCAAATCTATACTAGAAGGTGGTCCATGCTATCTCACGTACTGAAACTTACATGCAGTACTGTGCACGCAATGAAAAATGGTCAAAGTACTAGTAATGGAACAATTTTGAATAAAAATCATTAAACGTGTAATATGTATAATGCTGGTGCTCAAGGATATGCGGACACCTTTAAGAGGCAGGATTTTCCGAGACTTTACTGAGGAACAAAACAATAAGTGAGACTCTTAAAAATATAGTGTTGATGTAAAAAAAAAATTAAACTTAGAAGATAAATTAGTATATTTCATGTGAAATAACCCATTTGGATTTAACCTGTTAAATAGAAAAGTGGCTTGGATTTATGCTTTTCTTTTGATTTACATAATGGGATCTTCTAATCACTACAGAAGCAACGTGGAAAAAAATGTGGGAAAAAAGTGCTCCTCTTCTTAGTTTCTGTTCTTTAAATTAAGCAGAAAGAGTCATTGGCCTAAGTGTCCCACATCCCACGGATTTCTGGAATGAGCTAACCCAAGCTTCAATCTCCCCCCCCGCCTTCTCCTGCACCCCTTTCCTTACCAACGGCTGAAACAATAAAAGAGCAAATAGCAATTAAGTTATTTAACTCTCTACGTCTCCAGTTAAATCCTCTCGTCTCATTTGTTTTGATATTTTCCGGAGTGGCCTATTATTCATGCTCGGGCTTGGAGTTCAGTTGCCCACAGCCTCTAAGGGGAGGAAGTGAGGAGTGGGGACAAGAAGGCAGCGTACGTAAAGCTGGGTCCTGTCCAAGTCACGCTCTTGTCCTTCTAGGGCAAGACAAAGTGGTTTTTTCTCAGCATGGCAAGAGGACAGAAGACGCCTCAGGGAAGGCCTGCATTCCTCCAGAGAGGCGAGGAGACAGGAGGCAGAGAACAGAACGTCTTCCTACGGAGATGGCAGGAAAGGAAATTGGAAAGTCTTTTGTCGCCCCTTGGTCCTCAGCCCCAAGAACCTTTAAGCAGCAACTACTTGGAGACCCTCAAAAGCATAGTGAGTAAGGGTCCTGGCAGTTGGACTTGGAAGGATACTTAGTCAGCTAATCCCTCAGGGACAGGAGACAAAGGGTCAGTGAGCCCTTCCACCGGGGAATCCAGAGAGGCCAACAGCGCTGACAGCCACGTAGAGAGGCGGGGGAGGGAGAGAGGGAGAGAGAGAGAGAGAGAGAGAGAGAGAGAGACAGACAGACAGACAGACAGAGACAGAGAGAGAGACAGAGAGAGAGAGAGAGAGAGAGGAATTCAAACTCTGCCTTCCTCCCTATTGGGATGATCATGGGTACTTACTTAACTTCCCTGAGCATCTTCTCCTGCATAAAACGGGTAGTCTCAGCTCCCTCAGAGGTGAGTTGTGAAAATTCAGTGAGAACAGACATGTGGCATAGCCGTTAACACACACAAATTAGATTCTCCGTAATTCCCTGTATCTTTGCGGGGACACTGACGTCAGCGACAGTACGCCACTGATCTCTTTATCCCTGGTGTCTGGACATAGTGTTTCATGTTTGTGTGAATGGTCAGAAAGGCAAAGACATTTACCCTAGCAAAGGGTCAGGCTCATTTCAATGACTTTTGTTCCTATACAACGTGTCTATCTCTGAGATTGCTTAATTTTTTTCAAAGAACTCAGGGTAGCTACAGATAAGTCACTCCAGTGCCCCTTTTTCTTACTGATATCATCTTCCTCTTGAGAAGAATCTTTCACTGCCATATAAACCATCTTCTCCCGTTGCATTCGGCTCTGGTCAAGCACTCCAGCCACGGAATGTCCATTGGTATACTCGCTCTCTGTGACAATTTCTGTTCCGCCTTAAAAAGGAAAACATGCATCAAACTAGCAAAGTACCATGGAATGATTTCCTAACCTAAGAAGGAGAACATAGAAGAAATACTTTCCTTTAGAAAAATATCCCCCTACATAAACTTCTAAATATCAAGAGAGTTTTCTCATAATTTACACGTTAACTTCACAGTCATCAGTGACAAATAACAAATGTTAACACATCAAACTTACGTGCCAAGCCCTATTGAAGTCTTTTACATGGATTTCCCCATTTAATCCTCACAACTGTCCTAGGAGGTACTTACTGTCATTACAGCTACTTTGTGGATGTAAACTGAAGCAGAAGGAGTTTAACTCACTCCCCAAAGGCCACTCAGCTAAATGGCAGAAGGATTAAAATCCAAGCAGGCTGTCTCTGGCTTCAGCCCGCCCCTAAATACTTACTATAATTTCCCACTCTGAACCAAATCCTCTTGTTTGTTTTACTAGTCAACTGTAATATTCTACTCATGTATAAAAGAATCTAAGGATGATATATTCTGCATTCCTGCTTCACATTCACGTACAATTTTTTATATTCCACCCCCAAGGAAACCTATAAAAACAATCTGTACTTTTAAGTCCGTCTTAGCATAGTGTCCAGGAAAGATACGTTCTAATCTCTGTTACAACAATAAACTAACATTGGTCTTCGTACCTATTTCAACATCATCTTCAGCCTCAGCTTTAAATATATACACTTTTATGACTTCTGAACCAAATCCATCTTCTTTAACATCTTCTTGTGACCCATCACTGCCAATTTTCAATGGTGTGTTCCCCATATGCTCCAATTTTTCCCCCACGTCATCCACTGTAAAATACAAAGAGGAAACTATTTCAGTCAAAAAGTACCACTGATATTTAGTGGGTGTTAAGCCACATGAAATTATGTGTTAATCGCTCACCCACTATATTCACTTAATGACCTATTATGCAACCACTAAAAGGGGCCTGCTTCATGAAAAAATGGCGTAAAAATCAGATATACTAAGTGATCACAATTATATTAAAAAACACAATTCACAGCTTTCAATTTATATATGACATTTAATAACACTGCAGCTTTAATTAAAATGGTTTGGGAAAAGATTAAACAATCTTCCATCATGTCCAACATTTTAAGTTAAATCTTAATGCTAAAATTAATAACATAATGTGCTCATGAAATATGGTCACATAAACAATTCCCAAATAAAGAAAAACAGTATTTCTAAAACCAACATATGAAATCTAGTAATGAAAAAAAAGAGATGAAACACAGAAAACACCTGAATGATTTTCTAAAAAGGACTTTTTGGAAGTCATTAAAAAAATAAAATATTAGTCAATACTCTTAATTTCTGTTGAGTCAATGGAAGACAACTTCAAACCAGAGATTTTGTACACTTCAACACTGACCAATGTATGCTTTACTTCAAAATCATATACATTGGTAAAGCAACATTATTTGAAAATATTACTTACATTTTAAGTATACTTAAAAATTCTGATTCTCTGCTATAGTCTTTAAGAATAACAGTTAGTTTCACATAGCAACTATGCACAAACTAGGCAATGATTATATTAATAAACTTTCTTCTTTGATCATAAATATTAAATATATTTTCCCCAAATATTAAATGCTTACCAATTTTTATTTCAATACTTGTCCCTGAAAAACTAAAATGTAGTATAATTTGAAAATGTGCTCCTTATTATGGACATCATAGTTTCATATATGCAACACAATATTATGAAGCTTCTGACTACATATGAACAATTCCAGAACTACTGAAAACAGAATAAAAAGTAACACTAAAAAAGTGATTAACCCAGTACTCTTAAAAAAGTAAGTTCAGGAAGATCTAAATGGATCAAACTCTTGATTTTCTCTACCTCACTTTCAAGTTTGATACTTATATTTTCAAAAATATTCCTTTCGCCTTTTAAAATAGTGAAAGACAATAAATTTCAGAAATTCTTTCACAATGCAAACTTACTTTAACTTTGTGATTAAATATAAACTACTTGATACTACTGAAGAGTTCAAATAGTTTATTGTCTACGAAATAAAGCACCAAAATGATCAAAATAAGTAAACGGAATAATGTAATTCCTTCAGAGCCTCTAATTCTATTACTACATTTTGGGCAAATATTGATATATTGGTGGAAGGGCAATGGAGCAGATTAAAATGAAATTTTGAAAAGATGGTGAAGTATTTGATATTCTTGGTATAATAGTTTCTTTTCACACAGGGGGTATTAATTCTGCAATTTATGACAACATGGAAGGCCCCTGAGAATGTTATGCTGAACAAAGTCAGCTAAAATAGAGGGCATTAGGCTCCGTGAAATAGATCAGAGAAACACAAATACCATAGGATTTCACATATGGGTGGAACCTCAAGGACAAAATAAACAAAAAAACTGACATGGACTCATAGACACAGAGAACTGAGTGGTGATTTGGCACAGGGAGGGGGGTTGGGAGGGTTGGGGAAAGAGGTGAAAGGGTCAAGTACAAACTGATAGTTACAAAGTACTTATGAGAGATGCAAAGTACCGTATAGGGAATACAGTCAATAATATTGTGCTAATTATGGTGCAAGTTTATTTCTGGACACACTATTCCGTCCCATGGATCTTTATATCTGTTTTTATTCCAGTATCATGCTGTTTGGATTACTATAGCTTGTAGTATAGTTTGAGAACAGGTATTGTGGTAACTCCAACTTTGTTCTTCTTTCTCAAGACTGCTGAGGCTATTCGGAGTTTCTGCGGATCCATAAAAATGTTTTGATTAATTTGTTCTCATTCTGTGAAATACGCCATTGGAATCTTGACAGGAGTTGCGTTGAATCTATAGATTGCTTTGGGTAGTTTGGACACTTTAGTGATGTTAATTCTTCCTGTGCAGGTCCATGAACACGGTATGTGCACCTACTTATTTGTATCTTCTTCAGTTCCTTTCTTCAGTGTCTTATAATTTTTCAAGTACAGCTCTTTTGCCTCCTTGGTTCATTTTATTCCTGGGTAGTTTCATTTTTGATGCAATTGAAAATGGGATTGTTTCCCTACTTTTCCTTTTTGATAGATCATTATTGGTATATAAAAATGGAACCAATTTCTGGATATTAAGTTTGTATCCCACTTTACTGAATTCATTTATCAGTTCTAGCATTTTTTGGTGGCATCTTTAGGTTGTCTGCATACAGTATCATTATATCTGCAAATAATGACCGCTTTACTTCTTCCTTTCCGATGTGAATGCTTTTATTTCTTCTTGTCTGATTGCTGTGGTTAGGAGTTCCAGTACTATGTTGAATAAGAGTGGCTAAAGCAGATACCCCTTTCTTGTCCCCGATCTTAAGGGAAACATATTTAGCTTCTCCTGAGTATGATGTTGGCTGTGGGTTTCTCACATATGGCTTTTATTATGTTGAGGTATGTTGCCTCTATTTTCACTTTGCTGAGAGTTTTTATCATAAATGGGTGCTGGATTTTATCAAATGATTTTTCTGCATCTATTGATATGATCATGTGGTTTTTATCCTTCATTTTGTTTGTGTGGTGTATCACACTTATTGATTTGTGGATATTGTACCAACCTTGCACCCCCAGAATAAATCCTACTTGATCTTAGTGTATGATCTTTTTGATGTATTGCTGTATTCGGTTTGGTAATGTTTTGTTGAAGATTGTTGCATCTATATTCATCGGGCCTATGATTTTATTTATTTTTGGTGTCTTTATCTGGTTTTGGAACTAGGCTAATGCTGGTCTTACAAAATGAGCTCAGAAGTCTCCTCCTCTTCAATTCTTTGGAATAGTTTGAGGAGGATAGGTGTTAGTTCTCTCAATATTTGGTAATATTCACCTGTGAAGCCACCTAGTCCAGGATTTTTGTTTGCTGCAGGCTTTTTAAAAATTACTGCTTTGATTTCGTTAGTTCTAATTGGTCTGTTCAGATTTTCTGTCTCTTCTTGATTCAGTTTTGGAAGACTGTTTATTTCTAGGAATTTATCCATTTTGTCCAGATTGTCCAATTTGTTGGCATACAGTTGTTCCTAATATTTTCTTATAGTCATTTGCATTTTTGTGGTGTCAGAGGTTACTTCTTGTCATCACTGATTTTATTTTTTTATTAATGAGTCTGATTAAAGGTTTATCAAGCTTGTGCATCTTTTCAAAGAACAAGCTCTTGGTTTCATTGAGCTTTTGTATAGTTTTTTAGGTACTAGTTCACTTATTTCCACTCTGATCTTTATTATTTCCTTCCTTCTACTTATTTTGCCTGCACTTGTTGTTTCTTTCTTGTTCCTTTAAGGTGTAAGTTTAGATAGTTTGAGATTTTTCTAGCTTCTTACGGTAGATGAAGGCCAGCCAGTACCGCTAAATGGTCTCAGGGAGTCTTCAGGGTGAGGACAGCCAAGTTCATCAGGCCCAAAAAAGACTCAGGTTTGGTCATGGGAAGGGAAGGTTCTGCACAGCACGGCGGGGCGGGGGGGGGGAGCCAGGTGGAAGTGAGAGGGGAAAATGCCCCCTGCCAAGAACCACACAACTCATTTTCTTCCCAGAGTCCGCCCTGATCTCCTGGAGAGCCTTCTGTGCCTGGGGACCAGGCTGGCCACAACTCACTGACAAAATGGCGGAGCACAAGTTTGGCAAGCTAGGGTCACCAGGGGTTGAGAGGGTAGAGCTAACAGTTCTACGGCTGGGCTAGTGGCTCTCCCCTGGGGAGGGGGTGGGGGTGGGGGTGGGGGTGGGGGTGTGTGTGGAGGAGGGAGGGGTGTCCTGGCAGGGGTTGGTGGGATGGTGGTGGCCAGGGCACCAACTTTAGAAATAGATCCTCAAAGACTCTTCTTAATGCATGTAGTATTCGAAAGACCCCACATTGAAACTGAACCTTTCTGCTTGTTGCAAGGGTTACAATACTCAAGTCCCACAGTGCTGTTTCTCAACTTATATGCCATTCCGCCCGGTATGAAGTAGGTTATATTACCTACTCAATAGATTTCTGCTGGCACTAAGCAGAACGTAAACGAGTAAGGTGCGCTGTTGGCCAGCAGTGGAAAGTGCTCATAATGTTCAATGTTCTTTTATAAACCATAGATACAATATAATTAAACTTTCTTTTTAGAAAAATGTACAATGTAATGTTCTTTTATAAAGCTAAGTAGGCTTTCTACTGTATCCATTTTATGTTATGTGCATTCTAAAATTACACGGTGGATATATTAAAGGATACAATGTATTGATGTACCACAGGGATGGGGTCAAGATATGTGTAAAGGATTTGTAGTTTTTACAATGCAGAAACAAAAAAATCAGTGACATTTAATTACAAAGGTGCTCTACTCCTAGCTATATATATGCAAGAGGTCTGAAAATATGTATCTACACAAAAACTTGTATATGAATATTCATAACATTATTTATAACAGCCAAAAAGTAAACTCAAATCTCCATCAACTGATAAATAAAATGTATATCCACACAGTAAAATATTACTCAGTAATAAAAATGAAGTCCTGACACGTTACATGGATAAGACTTGAAAGCATTATGCTAAGTGAGGGAAGCCAGACACAAGAGGACACATATTTTGTAATTCCATTTACATAAAAATTTTGGAATAGGCAAACCTATAGCGACACACATTGAATCAGTGGTTGCTTGGTAGGGGGTGGGGGTAAAGTGAACCAGGGTGACTGATAAAGGGTATGGGGTTTCTTTGTGAGTTGAAGAAAATATCCTAAAATCGATTATGATGCTGGTAGTGGAATTCTTTGAATATACTTAAAACCACTGAACTGCACAACTTAAATGGTGAATTGTATGGCATGTGAATTTTATATCTATCTATCTATCTATCTATCAATAAAGCTATTTCATTAAAAAAAAGATTACAAAATGTATTAACTTTTCTCTTTCACCCCTGAAATTAATGAGTGATGAGATCTCAGCTGATGGCCCTATCAAGATATTTTGCTTATATAAAAATATGTTCCTGAAAGAAATATAAGCTGATTTTATAGGTCAAACATAATCTAAATACATTACGTTGGTTCATTATTTAAAGGAACTTCCCTCCTTCAATGATGTGTTTTTTATAAAGGAAATCACCGGTAAATGTGTTAATGGGTGTTAGGTATTTTTAAAGCAAAAACAAATCTAGGGTAACTTTAGACAGATAGTTATCCCATATTAATATCCAAGTTACCAGGCACAAGTGAGAGAGCCTAACCAGCTACTACGACAAGGAATTTGTGAAGTTTGGCCTGAAAGCAGGAAAAATTCAGATGCAGCTCAGATAGTGAGATGCAGCTGAACTCTCTGCCTCTAAAACCCAGCTACTGTCAGGATTTCCTTCTAGGATTATTCGGGGATTCAGGAACAAGACAGAAGTCTGTTTCCAGTCCTCAGCTTTCTCTTGTAGATATTTTGAAAATCTCTATCTTGATAAAAAATAAAGAAGAAGATGCTTAAAGTTAATTTAACACTAAGTCCTTTCAAGGCAATATATTCTTAATTCCTTAAAGACTCAATGGCCAACATAAACCAAGAGGTAAAGAAAATGAAGTAAAGATTAAGAGATGAAAAAAAGAAAAGAAAAACTAATATATACAATAGAGTAGAATAAAATATATGAAAATTGTAAGAAAGAGTACCTAGACCCAATGTGACTGTTAAAACCATTATAAAATATAATGAAGGAGCTGGGTGGTGGGAAAATGGGTGATATCAAAATATTTAATGTTTGTGTATTTGTATATCCTGCTTTCCAAAAATAAAAAATGCTCAAGTTTTCAAAGGACTTTTAGAAAACTGTTGCTGTTTCTCTACTAATAATTAAGGAGTTAATTAATCCCCAGTTTAAGTTGCCCTTAGAATGGCCCTTCTGTAGTTGTAATATTATTCATGCAATACACTGTTCTTTGTAATTTTCAGTCTATTAGAGTAGAAGGACAGAAATCCTCTGTATTTGACATATATAATAATATGAAGATAAGTAATCTCAACTATTCTAGAAACTTAAAAAAAAATTTTGTAGAACCAAATCATAGAAGATATGTTAGTCACAATATATAATGATATCTAAATTTTAGACTACATCAATACCAAAGAGTTCAATTTGACAAGTACTCTTTGAAGGGCATATTGAATTTATTTTGGTGCAGAAAAACTATCAACTATGCCACATTATTTTATATAATCATAAGAATAGTTTTTTAAATGCAGGTTAAGGTGTAAATATGGAGTTGCTTTAGTGGATCCTCATTAATTTAAAAAGGAATCTTTCATTCCTTTAAAAACAATGTAAATATTCACCTTCAACGTTGCACAGAGAGGAAAAACTACACGTATTAGACTTCAGAATCATATTTACAAATTAATCTAATTTGTTTTTCATTTTAAGTTCACTGATATACGCATATAACATACAATCACTGTACACACACAGAGCACATACTCTAGTTCCCAACCATTTTTTATTTTAAAAAGGACAAAAATCCTCCATAGAATGTGAAGTCTTCACTTACTCTTTCCTAGTTCCAGCATAATCCCTTCCAATTTTAGGAAGTATAGCCCTACATCTATCTCCCTCAATGACGTATTATTAGATTTTTATTATTGTTGCTGTTCAGGCAAACCCCACCACTCAGAAGGAGAACAAGATATTTCTATCTTCCTCCTTCAGATGAAGTGTCTTAAGAACATAGTAAAGCGGTCTGGAATAAACACACATTTTGACGCAAACAGGGGGGAAAAAAAACAACTGTAGAAAACAACCTGAGTTTATAATTTCCTTTTCAAGTATTTCGTTCAAAACTAATTACACATTCCTGAACACGTCATGTTCAAATTCCTAAGAAGTGAACGGACACTTCTAGTACTTGCCATATTAAAAAGAAAGCAGTAACTACCTAAAATACATATCCCATTTTAAAATACATATTTTTACTGTTAAAATTTTGTATCAGTTAATGTTCCTGTTGAACCTTCCGAATCTGCTTCTGTTCTAAGATATTACTAAATTACATTATTTACTCTCATTTGGGTATGAATTTTCATTGAGTAAATTAAGAATCTGAGCCAATTCAAAAAGGCATCTCAACAATACAGCCTTGAAAAAAGTTGTTTTTCTATTATTTATTGTTGTTCAGTTAGTTGTCCCGCCTTTTCCCCCCTTGCTCACCCCTGCCCGGCCCCCTACCCCCAGTCAACCCCCTCATTGTCCCTGCCCATGAGGCCTCTATTCCTGTTCCTTTGCGTGCCCCTCCCTGTTCTTTTCCCTGTTACCCCCGCCCTGGTCCCTGTCAGTTTGTTATTTTTCAGCAAAATTACCCCCCTGACTTTTACTGAATAGATCCCACATTCCACAAAACCTTTCCGGGCTATATATAAAGCAATGCCTCAAGTAATTATGGACTTTATGTGTTACTTACGTGATATCATTAAGTAGTCCTCAGAAGTGCTCTTGACATCATCCTCCTCCTCCTCCTCCTCATCATCTTCGGTTTTAATGGTAACTGTAGATCCGGGAACACCACCGGCTGTTTGAATCACAGTTTCTGTATCTGAATTAGTTACAAGAACCTCCTCTGATACCATCGTGGGAGAGTCGACTCCTGAAACGCAATCTTGGACCACGTGTTCCAAGTGTCCACCAGGCCCAGTGACCAGGTCAGCCACGAACACCTGCTCAGGTACTCTGACGGTTTCTGTGATCAGTTCCGAAGTCAAGATATGATCGCCATCCTCTTCCTCTAAGTCTTCTTCAATGGCAACATCGGCTTCGAGCACCGCTTCAGGAACAATGACGCCCTCTGTTACCACGTCGGTCTCCGTGATGATGTCAGGCCCGTGGACAACTTCAGCTGCAAGGCCATGATCAAGGGTTATGCCGTCATCTGTGACAACGTCGGAGACTAACACGGCCTCAGGAACGGAAACAACAATGTGATCTCCATCGATATGCGCAGTGCCCGCCATGCCGGCCACTACAACACAAACAATTATCCAGAAAGTAATTTTATTAATTCAAAGGACTCTGTGTGATCTATTAGATGACATGAAATATTTTTTAAGTATGAAACAGTCGTGGGCAAACTATCGTTAAAAAAAATAAATAATCACCGACAATTTGATTGCAATAAAAACCATCACCAGCCAGAAAGTGGGGTGAAAACAATGTTAATAAAATCTAAATTAAGACCTTAAAAATAATGTACTTTATTTTCAAGGAAAACATAAAGTCACAGTGATACATCACTACACACCAATTAAAACAGCTGAAATTAAAAAAAAAAAAACATGGTAACAGCACAGGTTGGTGAGGATGCAGAGAAAGTTGATCTCACATATGTTGCTTGAGGGAATGTAAGATGTAGCAGCTACTCTGGAAAACAGTTTGGCAGTTTCTTTCCAAACTAAACATGCACTTACCATATAACCCAACAACTGCACGCTAGGGCATTTTTCCAGAGTTATTAAAACATATGTTTAGCCCTGGCTGGTGTGGCTCAGTGGACTGAGTGCTGGCCTGCGAACCCAAGGGTCGCCAGTTCGATTCCCAGCCAGGGCACAGGCCTGGGTTGCGGGCCAGTCCCCAGTAGGGGGCGCGCGAGAGGCAACCACACATGGATGTGTCTCTCCTCTTTCTCCCTCCCTTCCCCTCTCTAAAAATAAGTAAATAAGATCTTTTTAAAAACATATGTTTACACAAAAAAACTCTACATGAATATTCATAATACCTCATCGTAACTATTACTCATAGTAACAAAAAACCAATGTCCTCTAGAAGTGAATGGCTGGCTAGACCAACTCTGGCACATCCTTACCATGGAGTACTAGTCAGCAATAAAAAAAGGGACAGTCTATTGGTATACCCAACAACTTGAATGAAATCTCCAGAAAAGTATGCTGAGTGATAAAAAGCCAATTACCAAAGTTTACAATACTGCATAATGTATAAATGGAATCATTTCTTTAACCTTCACAAAATCAGACCACTATACAGGCAGAGAATAGATTAGTGCTTGCCAATGGCGGAGGTGTGTGTGTGCATGTATTGGCATAGCATACATGTAGTGATGGAACGGTTCGTATCTCCACTGTGCTGGTGTTTACAGAAACCTATACATGGGAAGAAACTGCACAGAAGTACACACACTCATACACAAATGTGTGCTACAAATGGTATAAACAGAATGAGGTCTGTAGTCTAGTCAACAGTAATGGACCAATGTTACTTTCTTGGTTTTAACGTTGTACTACAATTAGAAAGATGTCGCCACTGGAAGAAGATGAGTAAAGGGTAAATGGAACCCTATGTACCTTTTTTCTACTTCTGGTTAGTCTAGTATTTCAAAGTATTAAAATAAAGATAAAAAGGACACACAAACATAAAAGAATGCTAGCTAGTATGTTGAATTAGGTGAGTTAAAAATGAGAAGCTTAATATAACACATATTATAAAATATGTACTATAACCATAAAAGTTACTGAACTTCTTTAACTTATAAGAATTACTACACAGAAAAGTGGAAGGCATCTTTACCCTCTGATTCTGGGGGAGAAAACAAACTCAGTTTAGACAAAGATTTGTCTTGATAAGAAATCCTAGATAGGGACTCTAAATTCTAAATTAATCTGCAGGGGAAAAAAAGCTTTAAATAATATTTTCTTGAGCGCCATGATAAACATCAACTCCTACTTCCCCTGCGTGTATATTCTGAGCGTGTATAATCGCTTCATGAAGAAATCTGTTAAATTCTGTCTCCCTGGGATAGTACAGAAAACAATGTAACAGAATTTTGTGACCAGGTTGTAAAACTATCTATGTGAAATAATCCAGTAGAAAGCCTTTTCCATATAATGCTCACTTTCTAGAAAGTGATACCTGAACCTGTCATTTGCTATACAGTATTCACTATCGTTAACCAATTCATTATGGAAGACAACTGGACACTGTTAACGCCCTAACCGATCAAAGCACAAAGGGAGAAGAGAAAGTTGCCTTTCAGGATTATTCCTTTTGACCCTTCTGTATCCTTCTCAGTATTCTCAAACTCTCACTTGAATCGCTGTATTACCCCAAAAGAACACAGCCTCCATCTTGAGAATCTTGTAGACAAAGGGAGCATGCATACACGTAGTACTTTCTCTTCGCTTGTCACGCCATTGGCCATTTCAGAGATGGGCCAGGGGAGATTTCGCATTTGGCATTCAACTAGACTGGCAATATGGCTTTTAGCAAGGAGAAATTAAATGGTAAGCCTATAAAATTCACAGTATTGAAATGCTATGTCAGATAAGAGCAAAGGAAGACAACGAATCCCTCCTTTATAGCTTTGGGGGAGGCAGGGGAGAGCCCTGCAGAAAAAAAAGGGACTAAAAAGATCGACAAATTTAGTTTTGTTCCCTGGTTTGAACATTTTGACCTCCCTCCCTTGAAATACAGACCAAGAACCAGAGGAGGAGACTGGCTGGAAGGATGTTTCCTGGCTTTCTAAAGCTGTGAACTTGAATCGGATGAATCGCTAGGGATTTGAAGAGAAAGGTGACAAATGTCATTCAGGAACTCTGCCATGCTGTTCCAGGGAACTAGGGCTCCCGCTAACTTTGGAGGTTTTGAAATGTTGAAAATGACACGGTGTTAAAATAAATGTGGATTTGCTCATAAAAAAAAGAAATTCTATGTATATAAACAATAGAATTAATGTTTGATAAAACCTTTGCACAAGTCAGACTTAAGTTATGGACAAATCCCTTTATTTTAGAGCATGACTGGAGGCGAGTTTGGTTCCTGACCGTGGACACGAGGAGAGAATGGAATAATGCTAGCGCTGGCCTGGGTTCAGATTAACCCGGCTGGAAAGACTGCAAAAATGAAACAAGTGCTTTTCAGTTCACCTAGCTTCTACTCTAGGAGGAATTTACAGGTCAAAATAAATCAGATTAAACCAAAAGAAATGCTTGCTTACCCTGAATTCCTCTCAAAGAGCCTAGATCAAGAATTGATAAGTTTCCCACAATACTGGCAGATTACTCAGAATTAGATCCAAGGCTCCTATGAAATTTTGCTCTTTCCTCTTATCAGCTCATCTGTTAGAGTCCATTGTGTTTCTAAGCAAAGTCACATATTTAGCTATACAATAGCTATATATTTTGAGCACTGACTATGCGCCAAGCAACTTGCTAATGCTTTTACATACGTTATCTCATTAAGCCTCAGAACAAAAGTATTATAAGGTGAGTTGTTATTATCCACATTTTAAATAGAAAGTAAGTATGGTTTAGGATTGTTGGACTCCAGATTGGACTTACTTTTTTTGTAGTTACCTAAAAAACAAGAGAATTTGTTTACTCTAGAGACTATTTTTAAGAGATTTATACAATTAACCAAATGGATCACTACTCAAGGAATAGTTTGAGAAAGAGTAAAAAGATCTACCACATAGGCACTCACTTAAATTTCAAAGCATTAAATGGCATTCAACTTTATCTCACTAGGTAACAAAATTGTAAACAGTAAGAAAAAAATCACTCGCAAGTGTGAAATCAATTAGATAAGCAGATAACAGTAAGAAATAAGTCATCATTCCAATGATTTTCCATTTATTAAAGTTATTTCACTTAAATGTAAATAGTTGGAATTTCATGAGAGGGGTAGTATACAATTTGGTATTTGTTGGGTCTGTCCTGGGCCACTATCTAAGGCTGCTTTTTTTTATATTTAGGTTCCAAAGCAACACAGACTTTCTGCAGCAATAAAATCTTCAACAACTAGTACATTCAATGGCACAGATTCCAAGGACAACCATTATATTGAGACATGAGCAAGGTTATTACATAATGCTGTAAATTTTACAATCTCAAATATTCTTCAAAAGAAAGCAGTGTAATGAATTTCTGCATTAAATTCATGTTTCAGATTTTTCATGGAGTAGCCATCCCACCCCAACCAAGAACCTTATGGAACTTAGAGACTGAGATCCTGTGCCACACGGTGTATTTACTTAGCTAGCTCTACCTGTGTGTGCTGAACTCCGTTTCACAGATATTATTAATGGATGGGCTTGCAATAATCTATCTTTCATGTTAGCAGAAATTTAAAGAGAATATGCCTACTTTTTAATTACATTTCAGAATTTGGAAAGTTTAATGGGTGGAGGGGGCACTAATCAGAGAGAGTCTGCTCTCAGAAGGAAACCTAAATGAGCAGGGCTGAGAATCCTCCAATAAAGGTCCCTTTAGGTTTAGATCTGTTTGAGACCTTTGCATTTCTTAAAAAAAACATTCAAAAAAAATGAAAACACCAATATATGAGATTGAGCTTAGAACTACACATTTAAAAAAATATAAAGAGTTCTTACCCTCCAAGATTTCAGAACTTATTTACTAAAGACAAATGGAGACCTAATGTATACTTTAGGTCAATAACATCCCTAAACACAAATGAGTGGATATTACCCATATTAGCCATTTTGGACCTAATTGGATATTCAGCAAAATAATTTAACCAAAAATGTAAAATCGAGTTAGTTGCCGTCAATTCAGTTAAATTTAAAAGATCATAAAATTCAACTTAAAAAGAATTTTAAAAGAGTGCATCATTTCAAAAACCAATAATCACAAAATACTCCTAGGAAACTGAATCATGAACGGCTGTTTAACAAAAAACTGTGGCTTTCAATTTTTTATGGTATAAGAAAGTTGGTTTAGTCTATTGAATTCCTTTTAGAAAGGGCTTTGAATTAAAACTCTAAAAGTGGTTCTCAAATTTTCCCTTTTAATTACTCATAAAAAGAAAGGGGAGAGTAAATGAAAACTTTGCTTTCTAGCCTGTAACACGTTTACAGGAGTCTAAATGTGTCTTTGTGTGTCTACGTGTATTCTCCCCGGTTCATATGAAAGGTATTCCAAGACGTGCTGTTTATCCAGGGCTTTGAGGTACATGCTGGCACATCGCCACATGCCTTCCAGGGCACGCATGCTCCAGTCTAAGATGCAAAGCTTTAGGTCAAACACAAAAGCATTCTAATGCATTAAAAATATTTTAACCAGTCAAACCTCTGTCAGCTGATGAATGGATGAACAAAATGTACGAGAGTTTACCCATGCAGTGGTGTATTATTGTGGAAATAAAGAGGAATGAAATACATGCTACAACAAGGATGAAACTTGAAAGCATTATGCTTAGTGAAAGATATTTGGAAATAAAAAGGAATGAAGTCCTGATACTTACTACACCATGGCTGAATCTTGGAAACATTATGCTAAGTGAAAGAAGCCAGACACAAAAGGCCACATATTGTATGGTTCCACTTATATGAAATATCCAGAATAGGGAAATCCATAGGCAGAAATATTAGTGGCCTACGTCGGGGGGTCGGGGCGCGGTATGGAGGGAGTAACTGCTAATAAGTATGAGGTTTATTTTTATGATGATGAAACGTTCCGAAATTAGGTAATGGCAATGGTTGCATTTTATACTAAAAGACACTGAATTGTATTCTTTCCCAAGCGTGAATTGTATGGTATATTATACCAATAAAAATAAATAGGAAAAAAAGAACGTACACACAAATATTTCCATACACATGTTCTATTTCCCTGGCGACTAAGAGAAAATAAATATTAGACATAATAAAGGATTAATTAACCCTCAAAAAACACTGAGGAACAATGAAAAGGAAGTTAAGAGGAACACAAATAAATATCCACTGCACCAGCAGCAATTGGACATTTTTTTCCAGTCTTTGAAAGGAACTTTACTTGCTAACAAGTAACTTCCTCAGGAATGAAGGGAGGAGGTCTGGTACTTTACCAAATGCTACAATGTAGGTAACATTTTGTATTAAATGGAGAAATACTGTATTTCTTACATTTTAAAAATATCTATTTTTAAAAAGTAAAAAATTAAAGTCAACATTTCAACCAAAACTTAACATATTGAAGTTCAAGTGTTCCAGCATTTTAAAAGCTATCTCTAGCAAAGAATTCACAAAATTGTTTGCAAAATCTGTTTTTGTTTTTTTCAGCCCTTTGCCCTTCTTGTAAAATTTATTCCTGTACTTTTCTTACCCCAACTCACTTCCAAGTCATTCATAATCAATGCAACTCACTGCGGAGTCTTAGCAGAATAAATCCATGATTCCTTTCAGGTTTCATCAATTAACTACACGCTCATCTTGATCTCCTCCGCATTTGATCTTGAACTACACACCATACCTTTGTTCATCAGGAAGAAACATCAAGGAATCCAAACACTGGAGAGAACCTGAAATGTTTTCTAGTCCAACCCCCTCATAAAAGGGAACTAAGTAATTTGCCCAAGTTTACACAGAGAGTTTATGGACTGCCAAGCCTGGAATCCAATGTTTTCTGGGCCTTCCAAGAGTACAAAATAATAATATGTCCAACCATATTATCTGAAAACAGTAGTAGTAGTTTTCTTAATTGAGCAAAGAGTCCGCATCCTTAATTTCATCTTTGACAATTTCACAGTACCTCATGTTTTCTGTTTACTTTTTATCCCCATTTACCATTTGTCTTTTTGCCTCTGATACTCTCACTCTGATCTTTCTTCAAGAGTTAGTATCCTAACCCTGGCTCGTACTCTTCAGATACCCCTATCTTCTACAATTCAGATTGACCTTGCCCAAATTCCTTTCTTCAGAGACTGTGAAAGCAAGCTTATCACCTTCATCCCAATGGCTACTCTTAAGAGACTACTGAAACATAGGGAATCTTTTAATGGTTTTTAAATGTAATAGTATTTGTCACAACTTTCTGAGAATATAGTATCATAATACAATTAATCACCTAGTGTATAATTTTCCTGTATCACCGTAGAGACATCTAACTTCTTTAAAAGGACTGAAGAATTTCCTTGTCCGGCTGTATTAATGATTCATATTCAAATGTATTTTAGAAAGCTAATTTAGTGTTTCGCACAGGTAAGAACTGATAGGTATGTATGCAAATTGAGTTCTGCGCTTCTAACAGCGTATCACCACTATACTCCAAGTTTCCTTCCCTCAGCCTTCCCACAAAGTTTTAAGAATGTTTTAAGGAAATAAGCCCTACAAATGAATTTTCCTAGGAAAAGAACATTTTTTGTCATTGCAACTCTCCCCTTCCTCAACTCAGTTTTGATATTTAGTTTGTTGTAATGTTTAAAAAAAAGAAAGAAAAAAATACAACAAAGAAAATGCTTTACCAAAATCCTGCATAATCATGGTATGGGCCATTCTAGAGTCTGAGGTGTGCAATCCAAGACTTCCTCCACCTGAATCCATACTTAGCAAAGTTCATTCACAAATCTCTGTAAAAGAAATGGTTTTTAAAAGAGTTTAAAAACACGTAGGCCAGTCAGTTGTTTTGAGACAAAAATGCAATTGAAAATACGCCTCTCAACCAGGCGAGCAAATCTCATCACAAAGGAAAACAAAACAAAAACTTTGATTAGATGCTTCACGTGACAACCAGAAATTAAAGGTCTAAGTGGAAGTAAAGCAAAGCTCATGGAGGATAAGACACAGGAAGGGTGATGAGCCATAGGGAAGTGGAAAGAAGCAAGCAAAAGAACAAAACTGTCGTGTTGAAGTTCCGGTTAAAATATAGGTTATAAAAGCAGAAGAAAAAAGAAGGAAAAGATGGCAACAGACAATAGTTGGGATAGTTATACGTTACTAGAGGACTCGGGTGTCTAGTATTAGTGAATTTCATCCATCTCTTCCAGACCCACATCAGCCCTGCAGCGAGCTCTGCAGATAATATGGTGTTTCACCTCCGGCTCCGGGGGTTCTACTTAGACTGTAAAATGTTCTATCCCAGTTTCCCTGGAGTTCTTTGAGTCAGTAAGGACTTCTGAGCTCACTCTACTACATTCTCTTGTCTCACAGTTTTGAGGACTCATGAAACATGACTGCTTCCTAAATATGGTAGAGATAAGATCAATCACATACCAACATTTTAGCACATTGTTTCTTACAGAATATAGTTCACTTGTAATTGTACAACTTTGTTTTTCATTCATGATTAAGAAAGTCATGCTAGCCTCATGCTAATTTTGAAAGCAAGGGATCAACACATTTCATTTCAAATGGCTTATCGTATATCTGAGACCACCAGAGAGTATGGAACCTCAAGTCAGATGTTGTCATTCAACATAGTTCTTACTATTACTTATGTGTCTTTTCCCTTCAAAGATAAGATTCTAAGTAAATTAACAAAAACCTGCAAATTTTTTTAAAACGTGTATCTCATTTTTAGATAGGAGTGTTTAATAAACAGGTCTGTACTGCACAAAAGATGGTGTCACATCATTAATGAGCGTTTTAGAAAGCTTCCATAAAATCGCTTTATTCCTTAAGTGCAGGAGATCACTAAGATTTGTTTCCTTGCCTTAAAGTTCTATAGATGCACAGGAGGCATGGGAGTCCCACAGAGGGTCCTCTATCAACATTTGAGTCCTGTACACAACAATCCTACAGCAGCAGGTGATCTTTCTGTGTACCAATGTTTCAGAGCTTATTTTGTTTATGTATGAGCAAAATGACAAGATTGTAGAAATTCATGGCTGTAATTATCTTTTTTTAAGAAATATCACATCGTTTTCCGCCTTCAAAATGAAGTCGAGTTCACAATAAATTACCTGTGTGTTGAGAGATAAATTAAAATATCATGAGGACTTATTTTTAAAATTAAAGCAGTGTACTGTTTCAACTTTAATTAGAGCAATTGCTTGCTTTATCACTAAGTATTAGAACAACTATAAATGTCTTTAAAATGTTTTCAACACTGAATTTTGTTTAGTTCTTAAATAAAACACTGTAATTTGTTAATCACCTTAGTATAGAGTCTTGAAAAAACTGTAGATTTTCTTACATATTGTAAAATACAATGTGCAGCAATGTCTTTTTATTTTTCCTTCTGAACTATATTATTTTCTTTGGAAAAACGTTTTCTTTACCTATTGTAAAAATATATTTAAAATTAGATATTTTAAAACATTTGAAACGAAATCTCTTACACAACCAAGAATTTTTCTTTACCCTTTTCAGTTGGGCTGATGTGTTCAGATCTGTTCATCTAAAAAGCAACGAAAGGGATCCCAACAGAAACAAGTATCTACTACCAAATAAGCGAATTCGACCACCTCGTGCAACCAAAATGTTGTGTAAAGCACATTTGAAAAATCGCTAGCAATATCGTATTTTAGAAAGTGAAAGAGAACCAAGGACAAGGTTTATCCTTGCCAAATCTACAGAGAAAAATCTGCACTAGCGCTCAGTGAAGTGTAAAAATTTGAACACGTCGTGCAACTATTATGGGAAGTGCCACGCTGTCTGAATACCAAATAAATAAATTCGAGCACCTCTTTTGCCATATAGGAAGTTTCAATAAGATCACTAATAAATGAGGTATGAGAACATCAGTTTAAGTATTCAATAGCCGGTAGATCGGTAGGCTCCTCGGGCTTCCCAAGAGTCTATCCTAAATCCTTCTTGAATGGAGGTAAACCACCAAGTATGTTTCAAGTAAACATCTTTCCAGCAATGTACGAGGAGCAGAAATCACATCTCAGACAAACGTTACGCTCAGCCATCTGCTGTAAACACAGCTCATTCAGGACCTAGCTTTTCGGTGATGTAAAGAGGGTGAAGGATGCAAGAGAAATCCTAAAGCAGAGAGCAAGAGAATGCGAAAGTAGTATTTGCAGAGATAGGAGACAAAGGAGCCCTGGCAAGTAGCAGTATTGCAGCTTTGGACGCAACCCTCTTCCTGCATTAAGTCTCCCTCTCCCGAGAACATGACAAGTTTCAATCATTTCGAGCAGAACGCACGCACGTGCCTTTTCAAATATAACCCATCTGAGCGGATCTTTAACCCAACAGGAGAACCACCGCCGCGGAAAGGCGAAGAGACAAGAATGCCTTTCCCCTCCTCCCCGCTTCCACTTGGTGCAGCGGCGGTCGCCACCGCTGCGATCCACGCCGTACTGCCCAACCCTTCATCGTCCCTCCTCCCGCCGCTGTGCCCCGCTACATGGGAGACGGCGGAGAACCAAAATGGTGGTGTTTTAGCGGAGGCGACACTTGCAGCACACGCCCCCCCTCCCGGCTCTGACGGCTCCCTATCCCCTAAAATGCCCGATCCGGTGCCACCTCCTCGCAAACGCCGCCATCCCTCGCGAATTCCAAGGTTACCATTCGCGGCGGGCGGGGGACAGGGGCTGGGGAGACGTGGGGGGGGGCGAGTGAAACGAATATGGGGGGGGGATCGCAGAAATAAAATGCCAGTAGGACGTCGCATTCTTCGCTTCACCGTTTTGTTTTCCGCCATTTTCCCGTCACCCTAAACCACCGACGGCCTCAACGAGGGCTCCTGCCCCCAAAGGCTCTGGCCTGCGGAGGGAAGAGGTCAGCGAAGGAGGAGGCACTCGACCGCCCTCAGTCCCTCCGGCCACCAGCTGCTGCAGGGGAGCCCAACCGTGCGCCCGAAGGGGAGGGAAGCCCAGGGACTAGACGCCACTTCCATTGTTCCCTTCGCCGCACAGCACGCGCTGGGTGCGAGCCTCTCCTCCCCTCCCAGCAGCCGCGCCGCGCGCACCGGACCCGAGTCCCTCTACTTTGTCCCCAGGAGCCTCCTTACCTGCCGCCGCCGCCGCCGCCGCCGGTCGGACTCTGACCACGCTCCGGATTTCTGCGGGGGGCGGCAGCTGTGGCTCGGGAAGGTCCTCGCTTTCGGGTTTCCGAGGTTCCGCGGCCCGAGCCAATCACAAGCTACTCTGCGTCTGGGAGGCGCGCCGCCCGTCCTCCTTTATTTCGCCGCTGACATGCTGAGGCTGCATTACGTCACACCATCGCTGCTGCAGGGGAAGGGGCCGGAGGGGCGGCGCGCGCACGCGCGCACGCGGCCGCCGAGGAGCCCGCGCGGCCGTTGGGCTTAGAGACCCGGCCAACGGGCGGCGGGGGCCGCGGCGCCGGGCCGGTCCTGCTGCCCGAGCCCGGATCTCGGCGCGCCCCTGGTTAGTTTCCTTGGGAAGAGGTTGTTTTCCGGGTTTCCCGAGGGAGCGGAGGCGGGGGGAAGGCAGGGATCAATGACTGAATGGCTACTCCCTGAACCCCTAATAGATGTTGGACTACGTTTGTTAAAAATCGGCCCTACCCTCGAGGATTTCACCCATGAGGCTGACCACAGTGATAACAGGTACGCCTCTCCCCGCTAAACCGATGTGTGTTTTGCCGTTTCCCTCCCTCTTTCCCGTCATTCCTTTTATAGTCCGTAATGGGAGGCAATTCGTTGAACAAAGTAGAGTGAAGAAAGGCATGCAAGGGGAAAGGTGGACAACGGACCCAAATGAAGTGAACACTAAATATCTTTTGAATCTGTCCCTTTCGACTTGTGTCGGAACAAAATGGGAGAACAGTGAGAAACTCATTGCTCACGGCTTGGGGGAAAAGTGATGAAATGTGGCTAAAAGCTTGCATTTGCAAAGAGCCTTATGCTGTATTCGGAAAATGTAGCTTCAGTACTATGAGCATTTGAAATAAACAGCAGTGTTTAAGCCGGGAAAGGGTAGCCGCCTTTAAAAATAAACAAAGTAACTCACTGCCTTGGTGTAAATAATTGGACTATTTCACAAGTGAAACACTTTATAGCTCTTGATTAGATAGATAATTTCTCCGGATCACTTAACCTAATACACCACTAAAGGTTTTCAGAAAAATAAACACAGGACGTGAAAGCCCCACCGCAGTTCCAGACCAGGCTCCCTTAAACTTTCTCTGCACAGGGCCAGGTAATAAATATTTTAGGTTTTGAGGGCTATACCGTCTCTGGCACAACTATTCAGCTCTGCAACTGTAGCACAAAAGCACCCATGTGTACACAAATGAGCATGGCTGTGTTCCAGTAGAACTTTATTTATGGACACTGACATTTGAATTTTATGTCATTTTAATGTGTCCTACAAAATTCTTATTTGAATATTTTCCACCTTCTTAAAAACATAAAAACCGTTCTTAGTCGCAGCCATGAAAAAAGGGCAAAAGATAAAATAAAGTACAAACAAGAGTTTCACAAAATCAGACAACCCTCCAGATTTGGCCTGTACGCTGCCCTTTGCCATCCCCTGCAGGTATTATATACACGGTCCAGCACAAATGAGGCCCCTTTTTTATTACAAAAATCTTTTATTACAAAATCAGAAACCTGTCATTCAGCAACATAACACTATCACACTCAAGCACATCATACAATATTTTGGGTGAAATGTTCAAATGAAAACTATAAAATGTGACACCCACATTATCACCCTACCAAGCACACTCAAGCCGGCCTTACTTCTGCGGGACCTGATATTTACACTGTGATTTCCCCACCTAGATGAAGAAAGGTATTTTGATGAGCATATTCCTATACATGACGTGTTTCTATGATGGATACTCTGGCAAATGCTACTTGAAAACTTTCCTAGCAGTGACAATTCCAACAGGACATGGATGGAAGAGAGTTAAGAACGATGTGGGGGGTTTTCTAGCAATGACCTTCGTGAATGGTACATGGTAGTACATAATTTTTAAAACCTGAAGATTATCCTCGTTCTCCCATCTTTCTCCGACATCTGCTTGATCAAAAATGTCTTGCGAATTCTACTCCCTTAATAGCTGTGGAATTCTTTCCTTTCTTCCATACTTAATGTGATTACCTCATTCAGATTCACATACCTTCTTATCTAGATTGCCCCAGACCTTCCCAAGGAGTTTCTCTGCGAGCATTGGCTCATCAGATGCTGAAATCAGAAATCACCAAATCAGAAAAATATCTCAAATTAAGCCCCCCCCCAAATAGGACTCTGCAGTAGCTCCTTGATTCATTCTTCTGCTTCAAGTCTCTCTTGACTCCACTTGATAACTTTTATAGTGTAGAGTCCATACTACCACAGAGATCGCTTGCGTAACAAAAAATTGATTATCTCACTCCGCTGCTTAAACATTGCTCTCCATTCCCATGAGAAGTCAGGGTTGAACCCAGGCGAGGACAGAAGGCGGCTTATGGGAATCTCACTTGGGCAACAACATAGAGGACCATCCAACATATGTCTTTGAGATATTTGGTCAATATTCATTTAAAGGGGTGCGTTGAATGCTACATGAAGGATGGCTGTTTGTTTGTGCTATGATTTTAAATAGTGTTTTTTATATCCAAGCTTCAGAGTTTTTGCAGTTTCATATTAGCCCCAAGATCAATAATATTAATGAGGTGCCAGAAACCCTTTGGAATTTGCATCTTGCTTTGTTTTGCAGCCCGCTCACTTCAGGCCCCTTATTTACCTCCCTAATCTTGGCCAGTAGTATCTTGCTGTGGTGCATTTAGAAACCACATATTGCTGTCTCTCCTTCCTTATCTGCTCCTGCAGTTGCAGTTTGTTGTGAGCTATATTCCCTTTGATCTCGGCCTCTTCTGGGAAAACTCTTAGCCTTCTGGCTTTAATAGTAACCTGACCATCTCCCAAGGAAATAATCTAAAATTGTCCTGGCTGGTGTGGCCCAATGGATTGAGCACCGGCCTGTGAACCAAAGGGCCGCCGGTTCAATTCCCAGTCAGGGCACATGTCTGGGTTGCAGGCCAGGTCCCCAGTTGGGGGTGCGCAAGAGGCAACCACACATGGGTGTTTCTCTCCCTCTCCCTCTGTCTAAGAATAAAAAAAAGTAAAATCTTTACAAATAAATTAATTAACATAGCACACTCTGGGTCATCTAGAAGACCAGCTTATAACTGAACACTGGCATATGTGATCAACTCTCACACTTGTGTTTGTATTTACAAGCACACTGATACCAGATAGTACCACTTTGTTTTGGGATTGATTTCAAATGGTGTCGGACTTTTGTTTGTAAATTATATGCTCCTATGACAGACGTGCTGTACATAATACAATTTCTTGGGAGTTAGAATAAAGTGCTGGGGGAAGTGAGTCATCCCATAGTGTATAATAAGACGAGCGGCACTCAATACGCCACTATGGAGTCACATTCGTGTTATGAACTGTAATTCAGTCCTAGCAAAACCATATAATGCATAGCATAAAATTAATGCTGTTCACTTATTAGTTTTGTTGTTTATTGTTTTGGTTTTATGATCGATAAGCACTGTAAGCCTAAGGCACTTATTCATACATAGCTCTGCTGTTGTTTATGTTTAAATAACTTTGTAATAAAACAATTTAAATCAACATTGAGAGTACAGTTTTTTGAAATTAGTTTGTAATAAACAATATAAAATGACCCACAAAAGGTCTCTAAATATTATCCTGCATAAGAAGTATCAGGACTTCTTGGGGAAAATAGCTAATTTGGGATTTGACATAGGAAATAAATAAGATGAGATTGTGTTATATGGTTGTGTCAATGAGAAAGAAAACAATGAGACTAATAGGATCATGTCAAAAGTACACAGAGCATTGAAAAAAATAGTAACTGCAAGTGATTGAAACACACTGAATATATTAAAAATCCCCACTTTATTAAGAATACCAATGCCCTGGCTGGTGTGGCTCAGTGGATTGAGCACCGGCCTACGAACCAAAAGGTTGCTGGTTCGGTTTCCAGTGTAGGGCACAGGCCTGGGTTGCAGGCCAGGTTCCCGGTAGGGGGCGCGTGAGATGCAACCACAGGTTGATGTTTCTCTCCTCTTTCTCCCTCCCTTCCCCTCTCTAAAACTAAATTTTAAAAAATGACAACAGCCAACACAACGATAGCTGTTCAGTGTGAATGAATAAAAAATTTTTTTAAAATTTTAAAAAAAGAATACTGAAAGGAGGAAGTAGAGAAAGACCTCCCCCCACCCATAGTCCTAAAGAAAGCATTGGGTACCATTTGATGTAAATAAGACCAGCTCCTTACTCTGACAATTACCAATTAAAAGAAAAGAACTCAGGATTTTATTCTGTTTTTCCTGTACGAACTATTTCAGGACAGACACATAGCCCTATTCTGATGAGAGCAAGTTCTTCTTTACACAAGAAATGCAATTAATTATTGTAGAACATATGCAAATAATCACAGAAATCACAATTTTTTAAAAGATTTTATTTATTTTTAGACAGAGAAGGGATGGAAAAAGAGAGGGAGAGAAACATCCATGTGTGGCAGCCTCTCGCGCGCCCCCTACTGGGGACCCGGCCCGCAACCCAGGCCTGTGCCCTGACCAGGAATCAAACTGGTGACCCTTTGGTTTGCAGGCTGGCACTCAATCCACTGAGCCACACCAGCCAGGGCCAATTCTTTTAATTCATTTAACACCCTATGTCTACTTATTTAGATGTGCTTACTTTATTTCATCAGCTAGGGAGAAGAGAGCTTGGAAGACAGTTGCAATGCCTAGCAAGTCATAGGCAAGGACACCCAGCAGGGCTGTCTGTGATTACTATACGAAGAAGCATGGGACTCAACCTGCATCAGCTCGGGATGCTGTTTGACAGCCGTTTATGGTATGTGTGTGTATATATGCACATGTTCGTTATTCAGTTATTTATTATGGACACTGAGATTGCTTCCGTGTCTTGGCTATTTTATATAATGCTGCAATGACCATAGGGGTAACATGTATCTCTTAAAATTAGTGTTTTTGCTTTCATTGATTAAGTAACCAGAAGTGGAATTGCTGGATCATGTGGTAGTTCTGCTTCTAATTTTTTGAGCAATTTCTGTATTGTTTTCCATAGTGGCTGTACCATTTTACATTCCCACCGACAGTGTATAAGGGTTCATTTTTCTCTACATCCTTGCCCGTCCTTATTTTTTTTTTTTTTTGTCTTTCTGATAATAGCCATTCTGACAGGTGTGAGGTGATATCTCACTGTGGCTTTGACTTGCTTTTCCCTGATGATTAGCCATGTTGAGCATTTTTTCATATGTCTGATGGCCATCTGTATGTCTTGTTAGGAAAAATGTATATCCAACATAATAAAGGCCATATATGACGAACTCACAGCTAACTTTATATCAGTGGTGAAAAGTTGAAATCTTTTTTCACTAAAATCAAGAACAAGACAAAAATAAATTGAAAATGAATTAAAGCTTAAATGTAAGACTCCAAACAATAAAACTCCTAGAAGAAAACATAGTAAGTGAAGTTTTTGAAACATGTTTTGGCAATATTTTTTTTAAATGAGTCTCTTCAGGCAAGGGCAACAAAAGCAAATAAACAAAAGGGATTACATCATTTAAAAGCTTTTGCACAGTGAAGGAAACCATCGACAAAATGAAGAGGAAACCTACTGAACAGGAGACAATGTTTGTAAATCATAACCCAGTAAGGAGTTAATATCCAAAGTATATAAAAAGAACCTACACAATTTAATAGCAGAAGTACTAAAAACCCAATTGAAAATGTGTAAAGGACTTGTATATGGTGTAACATACTGGTTCAGTTTTATTCTTTTCCATATAGCCATTCAGTTTTCTCAACACCATTTATTGAAGAGATTATCTTTTCCCAATTGAATTTTCTTGACTCTTTGTCATAGATTAATTGACTATATTTATGTGAGTTAATCTTTAGGCTCTCTATTCCATTCTACTGATCTATGCAATAGTTTTTGAGCCAGTGCCATACTGTTTTGATGACTATAGCTTTACAGTATAGTTTGAAATCAGAGCCCGTGATACCTTCAGCTTTGTTCTCCTTACTCAAGACTTCTTTGGCTAATTGGGGTCTTTGTAGTTCCATACAAATTTTAGGATTCTTTGTTCTAGATCTGTGAAAAATACCATTGGAATTTTGATGGGGATTGCGTTGAATGTGTATATTGCTTTGGGTAGTATGGGCACTTTTACAATATTAGTTCTTCCAATCCATGAGCACAATATACCATTCCATTTATTTGTGTTGTCTTTAATTTCTTTCAACAATATCTTGTAGTTTTCAGAGTGCAGGTCATTCACCTCCTTGGTTAAACTTATTCCTAAGTATTTTAATCTTTTGTGTGCAATTATAAATGGGGTTGTTTTCTTAAATACTGTTTCTGATAGCTCACTATTAGTACATAGAAGTGCTACTGCCCTGCCTGGGTTGCTCAGTTGGTTGGAGCATTGCCCCATGCACCAAAAGGTTGGGGGATCGATTCTCGGTCAGGGCGCACACCTAGGTTGCGGGTTTGATCGCCAGTTGGGGCACATATGGGAGGCAACAAATCAATGTTTCTCTCTCACATTGATGTTTCTCTTTTTCCCTCTCCCTCTCTCTCTAAAATCCATAGAAACATATCCTTGGGTGAGGGCTAAAAAAAGAAATGCTACAGATTTCTGAAAATTAATTTTATTTAATACCCTGTTACTTTACTGAATTAATTTTTCAGTTGAAATGTTTTTTTGGTGGAATCTTTAAGATTCTCTATATATATTATCATGTCATCTGCAGAAAGTGACAGTTAAATTTCTGCCTTTTCAATTTGGATGCTTTCATTTCTTTTTCTTGCCTAATTACTGTGGCTAGACCTTCCAAAGCTATATTAAATAAGAGCAGTAATAGTGGACATCCTTCCTGATTTTAGTGAGAAAAGATTTCAGCTTTTCACCGTTGAGTATAAATTTAGCTGTGAGTTTCATATATGGCCTTTATTATACTGAAGTCTATTTTATCTATAGCTACTTTGTTGAGAGTTTATTTTTCATAAGTGGATGTTGAATTTTGTCAAATGGTTTTTCTGCACCTATGTAGATGATCATAAGGTTTTTATCTTTTATTTTGTTAATGTGGTGTATCACATCGACTGGTGTGTGGATTTTGGACCATCATTGCATCCCTGGAATAAATCTTACTTGATCGTGATGTATAATCCATTTAATATATTTTTAAATTTGTTTGGCTAATAAATTGTTGAGGATTTATGCATCTATGTCCATCAGGGATATTGGCCTATAATTTTCTTTTCTGTGTGGTGTATTTGTTTGGTTCTGAAATCAGGGTAACGCTGGCCTCATGAAATTTGGAAGTGCTCTTTCCTCTTTGATTTTTTGAAATAATTTCAGAAGGATAAGTATTAACTCTTCTATAAATGTTTGGTAGAAATCAGCTGTGAAGTTTTCTGGCCCTGGACTTTTGTTTGTTGAGACTTTTTAAATTACTGATTTAATTTTATTACTCGTAATCAGTACATTAAGATTTTATATTTTTTTATGATTTAGTCCTGAAAAGATGTGTGTCTGTAGGAATTTATCCTTTTCGTCTAGATTTTTCAATGTATTGAAATGGCATATAATGTTAAGAGTATAGCCTTTTATGATCCTTTGTATTTCTGTGGTGTCAGTTAACTTCTCTTTCATTCCCAGTTTGTATTTATTTGGGCTCTCTCTCTTTTTTCCTTGATATTTCTGGCTAAAGGTCTATTGATTTTGTTCTTCATTTCTAAGAACCAGCTTTTTGTTTCAGTGATCTTTTTTATTTTTTGTAATGGTCTCTATTTCATTTATTTCCTCTCTGATGTTTATTTATTTCCTTCCTTCTACTAACTTTGGCCTTCGTTTTATTTTTCTAGGGCTTTTTTAGGTATAAAGTTAGATTGTTTATCTGAAATTTTCTTCTTTCTGTTATCACTGTCATCTCTCCTAGAACTGTTTTTGCTGTGTCTCCTAGATTTTGGAAAGTAGTGTTTTTATTTTCCTTTGTCACAAGGTACTTTTTGATTTCCTCTTTGATTTCTTTGGGGACCCATTGGTTGTTTAGCAACATGTTGTTTAGACTCTACATGTTTGTGTTTTTTCCAGTTTTCTTTTTTTAATTAATTTCTAGTTTTGTATGATACCATTGTGATCTGAAAAGGTGCTTTGTATCATTTTAATCTTGAATTTATTGAAACTTGTTTTGTGGCCTAACCATATGATCTTACCTAGAGAATGTTTCATGTACACTTGAAAAGAATGTATATTTTGCAAGTTTTGGATAAAATGTTCTAAAAATATTTATTATGTGCTTTCTTTTACAGCTCCTTGCTTATCCACATCTTCTTTATCCAGTCCTCTATTGGTGGATGCTTAGGCTGCTTCCATATTTTGGCTGTCAGAAATAACGAACATACAGGGATGACTATATCTTTTTGAATGAGTGTTTTGGATTTCCTTGGATGAATACCCAAAAGTAGGATTGTCAGGTCCTATGGTATTAATAGTTCTATTTTTAACTTTTTGAGGAAACTCCATACTATTTTCCTTAGAAGTTGCACCAATTTGCAACCCCACCAACAGTGCACGAGGGTTGATTTATTGATGATGGTCATTCTGACAGGTATATCTCATTGTGGTTTTTTAAAAAAAGATTCTATTTATTTATTTTTAGACAAAGATAGAAGGGAGAGAGAAAGAGAGGGAGAGAAACATCTACATGTTTTTGCCTCTGGAGTGCCCCCTACTGGGGACCTGGTCCACAACCCAGGCATATACCCTGACCGGGAATTGAACCTGTGACCGTCTCTGGGTTGTAGACCGGCGCTCAATCCACTGAGCCATACCAGCCAGGGCTCACTGTGGTTTTAACTTGCAATTCTTTCATGATTACAGAGGCCCCTAGGCTATCTGTATGTGCTCTTTGGGAAAATATCTATTTCTATTCAGTTCCTCTGACTATTTTTTAATCAGATTTTTTTTTCTTGTTAAGTTGTATGAGATTTTTATGTATTTTGGATATTAACCCCTTTTCATTGACAAATATATCCTTCCATTTAGGAGGTGTTCTGTTCATGTTGTTGATGGTTTTCTTTGATGTGCAAAAACTTTTTAGTTTGATGTAATGTCATTTATCTTTTGTTTCCCTTACCCAAGGAGACATACCCAACCAAAAAAAAAATGTTACTAAAAGCAATGTCAAAGAGTTTACTGCCTGTTTTCTTCTAGTAGTTGCATGGTCTCACATCTTGCATTTGTCTTTAATCCATATTAAGTTTACCTTGTATATGGTATAAGAAGGTGGTTTGGTTTCATTTTTTTTTTATCATGTCTGCGTCTATCCTTTCCAAGACCATTTTTGAAGATAAATAAATGAAAGATAAAAACCTTATGATCATCTACATAGGTGCAGAAAAATGATTTGACAAAAGACAACATCCATTTATGAAAAAAAAAACCTCAACAAAGTAGCTATAGATAAAATAGACTTCAATATAATAAAGGCCATATATGAAATGCACAGCTAAATTTATACTCAAAGGTGAAAAGCTGAAATCTTTTCTCACTAAAATCAGGAAGGATGTCCACTATTACTGCTCTTTACCCCATTGTATATTTTGGGGGATGGCCCCATTTTCCACAGAAAGAGCATCTAAATGCCATGAGGCTTCTTTCTGATTAGGTTACCCAGGCAGAGGGATAACAGGCCTTAGAAGAGATACTGAAAGTCCAGTATGACTAGAGCGGGGAGCGAGATAGAGAAGGGCGTGTGAAGAACCAATATACTGTGGTGGTTACAGACTTCGGGGTTAAGCTGCTTGTATTTCAGTCCTGATTCTGATACTAATGGTGTGGCCCTGAACAAGTTACTAAACTACTCAAAACCTCAATTTCCTTATTCATAAAATGGGAAAAATAGTATTACTTACCTCATAGGGACTTTGTGAGGACTGCATAAGATAACACATGCACAATATTTTGTGCTAACATCTTAGTATTTTATAAATATTACACACTAACATACACTTGACATAGACATGTAGATAGATCAGAGATAGATACATATATAGATTCATAGATAGATAGGTAGGTAGATAGATAGATAGATATAATAGAGAGATAGATACATAGAGACAAATAGAGACCCTGGGTCATGGAATCTGGGAAAGCCTTTTAAACTCTATGAAAGACTTGAAGCTTTATTCTTTTCTTTTTTTTTTTTTGGAACTTTACTCTAGGGTAATTGGAAGATATTGAAGGGTTTTAAGGAGAGAAGGGACAAGATTAGATTTACATTTTAAAATATTACCTTTGCTGTACTGTGGTAAAAGAATTGAATGGAGGCAAGTGTAGATATAAGAAATTCAATTAAGATTTTTTTTTTTTTTTTTTTTTTGCAAATAGCCCCGGAGAAAAAATAGATGACGTCTTAGCCCAGGGAAGTGGCAGAGTTCATAGAGACAGAGTTGGGAAAGAGAACATATTTGAGATATACTAGGAAGTAGGAGGAACAGGGATTGGTGGCTAATTACACCGAAAGGCAACTGAGACTTGTCAGTTACTCCTTCTATCCCTCCACCCACCGCGTCAGGGGATTAAAGAGAGATCGATAAAGAATAGGACAAGTAGTTGACAGGTTAGTGTAGGATACTTTGTGATGTATCTTAAATCCAGGAGGGTGTGGGTCCTAGTTTTGGTGGAGAAACTGTGTCTGCTTTTAAATGCTCTAAGGAAGAACTAGCTTCACTGTAGCCTAGACTAGAAGACCTACATTTTTTCCCTCTCACCTCCATTCATGGAATCTGGAAAAAAAAAATGCTACATTCAATACTGCAGGCCATGGAATTTGCAGAACTCCTAAGGGGCCTCAGAAACTTGGTCATTTCTGTAGGGTGCTTCCCAGGTGACACTGAGCTAGAAAGTAAGGCAGGGAGGGGCGGGGCCAAGAAAAGAAAAGAGGAAAGGGTTCTGGAAGAGTAAACAGAGCAAGAGAGTAATGAATACCAAGGGACCGAATGTTAACTAGAGAGAGAGTAATTAAGGAATGAGGGAGGTCTATTTAGTTACTCTTCAAAGACCTAGAGAATAGCTAGATGCTCCCATCTGCTATACAAAGCAAGTCTAATGAGATCTTACCCCTTTATTGATACAAGGGAGTATAATAGTTTCCAGAAGCACTGTGCTACACACTTCCTCCCCCAACTTTGGAATAATCGTATGAACTCCTCTTTAGTTGTTGACAAGAGTGGCAGCAACTTCACTGTTGAGCATTTAGTGGCAGTTGAACATTTTCTGGAAACAACAGCGTAGCTGAAGAGACAGTTGTTAAGTCAATCCCTCGTCTACCCACCTTTAACTGCCTTTCTGTCAGAGAAAAAAAAAGTGCTGCATGGGTTAGAATCCTATCTACGGCGGGTGTGAGACGTCTCTGGACACACTTACAATATCCATTCTCCCCTCCCCTTTTGTTAACAAAACCCTCATTGCTATCAAAGCAAGTTACTCATTTAGAAATTAGGACTAGCCACGTGACCACGGCTGAGCAGGGATATTCATGAAAGTTTTCTAGAATAGACAGACAGTGGACAAATATTTGGCACTTCACCCCTTTATTCATTTGCTATTACCCCTTCCTCCTGAACATGGATGTGATGCTGTCGTCGAAACAGTCGCCCTGTACCTGGATGGTCACCACGTGCTGAGGGGGAAAGCCACGTGCCAAGACCAGTGCACTGGGAAGATATCCCAGAAGATATCCTCAAGTCTTTCGTGAGCTCTTGAAGCTACTTGAATCAGGTTTCCCCTTACTTGTTTGCGAATGTAACCCTAAAAGACACAGAGTGCTAAAGAGCTTAAGAATTAAATGATGACTCTCAAGTTTCTGTCTTAGGCAATAGTCAAAATAGTGTCCCTCCCCCAAATCCATCCAGGTGATAATCTCTGGGACCTTTGAGTGTCGCCTTAAAAGGTAATGGGGTGTGAAGGTTTCAAATGGCATTAAGGGTGCTCATCGGCTGATCATCTCAAGATAGGGAGATTATCTTGGATTTATCTGGGCGGACCCAATTTAATTCTTTTTAATTCTTTTTAATTGCAGTTTACATTCAGTATTGCCCTGTGTACCGTGCACAGCATAGTGGTTAGACAGTCATATACTTTACAAAGTGTTCTCCTTAATATTTCCAGTACCAAACTGGCACCGTGCAGAGCTATTACAATATTATCAACTCTATTCCCTGTGCTGTACTTTACATCCCCACGACTATGTTGTAACTGCCCATCTGTTCTCCTTCATCCCTAAAACTTCCGCACCCAGTACCCCAGCCCCCCCGCCCCGGCAGCCATCAGCCTGTTCCCTGACTCTATGAGCCCGTTTCCGTTTTGTTTGTTCATTTATATTGCTCTTTAGAGTCCATATATGAGTGAAATCCTATGGTATTTGTCTTTCCCAATGTAATTCTTGAAAGTGGAAGCAGGGGTGAGAGTTTGGAGTGGCGCCGTGTAAGAAGGACGCCCTCCGCCCTTGCTGGCATTGGCGGGGGCCATGAGCCCAGGGTGCGGGCAGCCTCTAGAAACTAGAAAAAGCAAGGCGATGGATTCTTTCCTGTGCCAGGAGGAATGCAGCCATGTCCGGGCCTTATTTTTAGCCCAGTAAAATCCATCATGTCAAAGTCCCACCTCTGACATGCAGAACTGTACGAGAATAAATTTGTGTTATATACCCACTACGTTCCTGATAACTTGTTACAGTAGCCAAAGGAACCAAATACAAGCATCTAGATAGATGAGCTCCCTTTTAGAAATATTAAGGTTTTAGCCCTGGCTGGTGTGGCTCAGTGGATTGAACACCAGCCTGGGAACAAAAGCATCACTGGTTCGATGCCCAGTCCGGACACAGGCCTGGGTTGTGGGCCAGGTCCCCAGTAGGGGGTGCGCGAGAGGCAACCACACAGGGATGTTTCTCTCCCTCTTTTTGTCCTTCCCTTCCCCTCTCTAAAAGTAAATAAATAAATAAAGTCTTTCTTTTTTAAAAAAGAAATATTAAGCTTTTAGTGCTTTTGAGATATCCCAGTAGAGAGGTTGGCCACATGGGAGTGTCGGGAAGATGCGTGGACCTGCCAATATAGAATTGAGAGCTGTGGCACATGATCATTAAAATAATGGCGCCATTAAATTGCTTATGGAGAAGGAATAGGGTAAAAAGAAAAAAGGGCTTAACTCCAGTTCTAGTGAATTGAGTAGGGGGAGAGGCCAGCAAAAAGAGGCTGAGAAGCAGCAGAGAGTCAGGCCTCAGACAAAGAGAGCGTGGCCTCACAACACCAAAGGAAGAGAATGTTCCAGACAAGGTCATTGGCGGTGGGTGTTGATGAGAGGCACAATAAAGACTCTAAGTCATGTATTAGATCTGGTGACACAGGGGCTATCACAACCCTAATCTGCACAGGGCAATATGTGTAGTAGGTATTCAACCCTCATCTGTGCGAACTGAGGGATGAGGGAAAGAGAAGGAAATGAACAGGGAGTGCCCAACTCATCCCAGAAGCTTGACTGTGAAGGGAACGACAGTGAATTTGCAAGGGGATACGACATTCAGGGGGCATGTTTACGTAGGTCCTCCCAGGCGCAAACATCAGTGTGGGATCGGAATACGCAATAATTTTTATTTTTTTTAGAGAGACAATGAGAAGGATCTTCCAAAGTCTGAGAGAGTTTTACTTGGAGTGAAGGAGAAAGGGAAGAAAAGTTGGAAGTGTCTTGGACTGCTGTGCAATCTAAGGTTCAGCAAAGCCATGAGGAAGTCCTCCAGCAGAGGAGGGAGTCCCGTGGCTCTTGGAAATGGACTCACAATAGTGTCCTATCCAGGCAAATGCAGGCATTGATTTCAGGGCAAGGTAGCTTGGGCCCTTGGTTAGAGGTCTCTGAAGCATATTCTTGTGGCTTCCAGAGA